GAAACATCAACACTTTCTATGAATCCATTCAGCTTTTTCACATATCGACACTTTACATTTTGGTTTCTCTTTCGAGGCGAATCCACTTGACTTCTTCGCAACCGCTTTTAGTTTCGTTTTGCATTGGTTGCCAGTTGTGGCCGGGACTTTGAACGCTGCCGTTTGCTTTGAACCGGATTTGCCTTTTGTTGTCTGTACAAGAACATACAGTGTTAATGCTGCAGCAGATAGATACAGTAAATTAATCTGTATAGTAAATACATGCCAGAATGAGGTCAACTCTGGATTTTGGAGTGTATTAATGTCGTAGCCAAACAACAAGGCTAAATAAACACTCTCAGTTCTGCATCTACAAATTCAACCATCCAAAATCTCAAAAGCAAAACTTGAATTTGCGGTTTTCTGTAAGGGATGGCGGTTTACTACACAGCGATGTGTGCACATCTATATAAATAAAAATGTAATGTTCGTTTGTGGGATTAACATAACTCCAAAACCACTGGACGAATTGACACCAAATTTGGACACAGTCCACCCACCAGGCCAACAAATGACTATCTATATAAATAAAAATGCAATGTTCGTATGTGGGATTAACATAACTCAAAAACCACTGGACGAATTGACACCAAATTTGGACACAATACACCTCTCAGGCCAACAAGTGACCATCACTCATAGAAACACTGAAAAACACAGTAGAAGAGACTTAAAAACCCACAAAAATTACATTACAATGCATGCGCAAAACCACATATATACGCAAACACACACACACACAATACACAGAAAGGGGAAAGGAAGGAGAGAAGGAGGGGAAAGAAAGAAGGAAATAAAAAAGGATAGAGAAGGAAAGAGAGAAGGAGGGAGGGAGAGAAAGATAGAAAGGTAGAGAAGGAAGGAGGGGAGAGAAAGAAGGAAAGAAAAAAGGGTAGAGAAGGAAGGAGAGAAGGAGGGAGACAGAAAGAAGGAGAGAAGGAAAAAAGAAAGGTAGAGAAGGAAGAAAGGAGAGAAGGAAATAAAAAGAGAAAGGAAAGAAGGAGGGGAGAGAAAGAAGGAAAGAAAAAAGGGTAGAGAAGGAAGGAGAGAAGGAGGGAGACAGAGAAAGAAGGAGAGAAGGAAAGAAAGAAAGGTAGAGAAGGAAGGAAAGAGAGAAGGAAATAAAAAGAGAAAGAGGGAAGGAAGGAGGGGAGAGAAAGAAGGAAAGAAAAAAGGGTAGAGAAGGAAGGAGAGAAGGAGGGAGACAGAGAAAGAAGGAGAGAAGGAAAGAAAGAAAGGTAGAGAAGGAAGGAAAGAGAGAAGGAAATAAAAAAGTGAAGGAAGGAAGGAGAGAAGGAAGGAAAGAAAAAGGGTAGAGAAGGAAGGAGAGAAGGAGGGAAGGAAAGAAAGAAGGGAAAGGAAGGAAGAAAGAAGGGGAGGAGAGAGAAGAGAAAGAAGGAGGGAAGGAGAGAAGGAAAGGAAAGAAGGGGAGAGAAGGAAGAAGAGAGAAGGAAGGAAAGAAAGGTAGAGAAGGAAGGAAGGAGAGAAAGAACGAAAGAGGGAGGGAGGGAAGGAAGGAAAGAAAAAAATAGACAGAGGACAAAATGGTGGACTGAGGGCACAAAATGGAGGACTGGGGGCAAAATGGGGGGAATCAGGATGCAAAATGGAGGACTGAGAACATTAAATGGAGGACTGAGAACATTAAATGGAGGACCAAGGGCACAGAAGGGATGACATGAGGGTGGCCAAAATGGAGGACTGGGCAAGATGGCAGACTGAGGGGTAAAATGGACAGAGCTCAAAATGGTGGACTGAGGGCACAAATGGGAGCATCGCGAGCACAAAATAGACGGGACAAAATGGCTGACTGAGAGGATAAAATGGAGAACTGAGGGGCAAAATGAAAGACCGAGGGCACAAAATGGCAGCCTGGGAGGCATAATGGTAGCTTATTTTTAGACATTCCTCCCTCATGTTGCTTTTTCTCCATCTCCACTATGGAAGTCCGAGGGGCAAAATGGAGGAATTAGGATGCAAAATGGAGGACTGAGAGCATGAAATGGCGGCCTTGGAACACAAAATGGAGGACTGAGAACATTAAATGGAGGACCAAGGGCGCAAAATGGAGGACCGAGGGCACAGAAGGGATGACAAGAGGGTGGCCAAAATGGAGGACTGAGGGCAAAATGGCAGACTGAGGGCACAAAATGGAGGACTGGGGGCAAAATGGGGGGAATCAGGATGCAAAATGGAGGACTGAGAGCATGAAATGGCGGCCTTGGAACACAAAATGGAGGACTGAGAGCATTAAATGGAGGACCAAGGGCGCAAAATGGAGGACCGAGGGCACAGAAGGGATGACAAGAGGGTGGTCAAAATGGAGGACTGAGGGCAAAATGGCAGACTGAGGGCACAAAATGGAGGACTGGGGGCAAAATGGGGGGACTCAGGATGCAAAATGGAGGACTGAGAGCATGAAATGGCGGCCTTGGAACACAAAATGGAGGACTGAGAACATTAAATGGAGGACCAAGGGCGCAAAATGGAGGACCGAGGGCACAGAAGGGATGACAAGAGGGTGGCCAAAATGGAGGACTGAGGGCAAAATGGCAGACTGAGGGCACAAAATGGAGGACTGGGGGCAAAATTGGAGGACTGGGGGCAAAATGGGGGGAATCAGGATGCAAAATGGAGGACTGAGAACATTAAATGGAGGACTGAGAACATTAAATGGAGGACCAAGGGCACAGAAGGGATGACATGAGGGTGGCCAAAATGGAGGACTGAGGGCAAGATGGCAGACTGACGGGTAAAATGGACAGAGCTCAAAATGGTGGACTGAGGGCACAAATGGGAGCACCGGGAGCACAAATAGACGGGACAAAATGGTGGACTGAGGGGTAAAATGGAGGACTAAGGGGCAAAATGAAGGAGAAAGGCACAAAATGGAGACGCGAAGGAACAAAATGGTGGAGCAAGGGCACAGAATGCCAGCCTGGGGGCCTAATGGTGTTTTAATTTTATTCCTATCCCCTCTTAATGTTTCTCGGAGTGACATTCTTCCCTCAGGTTGCTTTTTCTCTGTCTCCACCATCCCTCAGAACTTGGAATCGATGTGTTTGTCTGGTTCACATGGAAACTGGGTATCATTCCAGAAGCATGGAGGATGGAAAACATTGGCAAGATGGAGTCGGGCCTTCCTTTAGGTCTCACCTAGATCTTCTTGCCTTGTCCCAATCAAGCCTTCCAAATTCAAAACCCATTTCAAAGCCTATTCCTCAGGCAGGCCTAATGTGAATGTTAGATCTACATTTTGCTAGTATTGGTGCTATAATCGGCATTTTATGTTTTTTAACATATGTATTTTATGGTTTTTGGTTTTGCCTGTGCATTTTAACTATGCCTCAAGCTGTAAGGAGAGGTGGGTAACAAACAAAGTTTATGATGACGATTTATTGTTATTCTTTTGTCTTTCTCCTTCAGGTTGATAATATGGGAAAAAGCGAAATACACATGTGTGCATTGTCTACAACCACAAGTTTCCGCTGCCATTTTGTTAACACACAGGTGATTTAAGGTGCATCTGCACTGTAGAATTAATGCAGTTTGATACCATTTGAACTGTCATAGCTCAATGTTATGGATTCCTGGGACTTGTAGTTTGACATGGTGTATTACAATATAATTGGTATAGTACAATATAGCAATATTTAAAACTGATATTGTACTATGCTAATAATACAATATATTGTGTGTGTGTGTGTGTGTGTGTGTGTGTGTGTGTATATAGATAATATGTATACGGCGCTCCATGCAGTCATGCTGGCCACATGACCTTGGAGGTGTCTACGGACAATGCTGGCTCTTAGGCTTAGAAATGGAGATGAGCACCACACCCCAGAGTCAGACATGACTGGACTTAATGTCAGGGGACTACCTACCTTTACCCATATACCTTATAAGCCGCTCTGAGTCCCCTTCGGGGTGAGAAGGGCGGCATATAAATGTCGTAAATAAATAAATAAATAAATAAATATTGCAAGCATGGGCAAACTTGGGCCCTGCAGGTGTTTTGGACTCCAACTCCCACAATTCCTAACAGCCTCAGGCCCTTCCCTGAAAAGGCTTTTAGGAATTGTGGGAGTTGGAGTCCAAGACATCCATCAGACCTAAATTTGCCCAATCCTGGTCTATTTCCTTCTCTACCAAAGGATACTGGTGCCTCATCAAACTAAAAATCCCATGATTTCATGGCAGTGGAGCCCTTGCGGTTCAAGTGGCGTAAAACTGTGTTAATTTTACAGTGTAGATGCGCCCATAGCCATCCTCCCAAATGAAATAATGTTTGAGAGCTTGATTCCTTCCATCTGTAATGTGGGATATTTTGAAATTTAGTATATATATAATTATTTTATGTGTCCAGGTTTGGAATCTCTGATACCTTTGCTTTCTGGAAGTTCAGTATACACATGCTTTGTTTCATGCACACAGTGGAGCAGCTCAAGACTTCATGTCTTCTATGGCAACAATAGGGCTGGAATGGGGAGATGACTAGAGCAATAAACACAATTGCGCCGGAACGTCCCCTCTCAAGTAGTTGAGCTAAACCAACCCCTTGATTCAACGAGTTGGCAGTGATGAAGCAAAGGAAGAGGAGACTAGAGGGTGTATGGCGTTAGGATCCAAGCAAATCAAATTGAACATGGCTAGATGCCCTGCTGACAGCATATGCCGCAGCAGTAAAAGCTGCACAGAAATCCTTTCTGGCAGCCAATATTGAGTCTGCGAGGAACCGTCCGGCGGAGCTGTTCCGAGTTGTCAGAGGCCTATTAAACCCCACCTCTCAGGATGGGAACTCTGACAACTCGGCAGCCTGCTGTGAAGCATTTGCTCGGTTCTTTGCGGACAAAGTTGCTTTGATCCATTCTGGTCTGAACATCATGTTAATGGTAGCCTCTGCAGATATTCCCCTTTAGATATTCAATAAATATATTTATTTTCTTATTGTTCCCCTTTAGATATTCCATGTATGAATTTTCCACTTGTGGAGCTGTTGAACACCTTTGGCAGGACTGTATCTAAGTTAACATAATTCTTCAGTCCAGTGAGCTTCAGAAGATGGCTCCATTGACCCGCAAGAGCTCGTAAGTCGCGTTAAATCATTCTACAACTCTGCATCTGTATGCTTGTCCACTATGCCCTGCCTCACGTACAGAGGAAGAATTGTTGGAGGCTACAGATAATGCTATTGCTGTTGCCCATTTTTGGTCAAAAGATATTTAGCCACCTGTGCTCCTTCTGTTTTTATCAGTTTTATACTAATTTACGCAATGCTTTTGATACAAAATAAATAAATTCTACAAAATAAATAATATGTACTTCATTATTTTCCTTTGTTTGTTAACAGTATTCTTTTCTTTCTTTTCTTCTCCCCTTTTCCTGTCTGCAGGGCTGAACGTAAGGCAGAAGGTAACTTAGTTGTCTTGGATCTTTTTTTTCCTTTTATTTTGCTGTTTGCTCCTGATAATTCAATATATATTTCCCATCTCTTTGTTGAAAAATGTTTTAGCGGGCTACTGTGCCTGGAAAGGACAGCTCTTCATTCAAGATCATCAAATCTCTGACATGGCTCTCCGATCATCATGTCGATTTTCTATCCCAGCACAGCTGTAAGTATAAGAGTATTTATTTTTCCTTCCCCCCGCTTATGGCCTTGCCTTTCATCTTGTATTAATGTCACAAGACTACATGAATTGCTCCTTACCTCTGGCAGGATTTCCTTCTTCGTTACTTTCAGATTTTCAAAATGTATATTTATTGTGATGGGTTGTTGTAGGTTTTTTCGGGCTGTATGGCCATGTTCTAGAGGCATTCTCTCCTGACGTTTCACCTACATCTATGGCAAACATCCTCAGAGGTTGTGAGGTCTGTTGGAATGAGGAAATTTGGGTTTATATATCTGTGGAATGACCAGGGTGGGACAAAGAACTCTCGTCTGTTGGAGCTAGGTGTGAATGTTTCAACTGACCACCTTGATTAGCATTTGATGGCCTGGCAGTGCCTGGGGGAATCTTTTGTTGAGAGGTGATTAGCTGTCCCTGATTGTTTCCTCTCTGTTGGTTTGCTGTTGTAATTTTGAAGTTTTTTAATACTGGTAGCCAGATTTTGTTCATTTTCATGGTTTCCTTCTTTCTGTTGAAATTGTCCACATGCTTGTGGATTTCAATGGCTTCTCTGTGTAGCCTGACATGGTGATTGTTGGAGTGGTCCAGCATTTCTGTGTTCTCAAATAATATGCTGTGTCCAGGTTGGTTCATCAGATGTTCTGCTATGGCTGACTTTTCTGGTTGAAGTAGTCTGCACTGCCTTTCATGTTCCTTGATTCGTGTCTGGGCAATGCTGCTGCGTTTGGTGGTCCCTATGGAGACTTGTCCACAGCTGCATGATATACGACAGACTCCTGCAGAAGTGAGAGGATCCCTCTTGTCCTTTGCTGAACGGAGCATTAGTTGGATTTTCTTGGTGGGTCTGTAGATAGTTTGTTTGTTGTGTTTCCTCATCAGCTTCCCTCTGCGGTCAGTGGTTCCCTTGATGTCTGGCAAGAACACTTTCCCTCTGGGGGGATCTTTGTCTTGACTCTTGTGGCTTGTTCTTGGTCTTGCAGCTCTTCTGATGTCTGAGGTGGAGTCTCCATTGGCCTGTAAAGCCCAGTTTAGGTGGTTTAATTCATCTCGGAGGAGGTGGGGTTTGCAGATTCTTTTTGCACGGTCTGCCAAGGCTTTAATGGTGCTTCTTTTTTGACTTAGGTGATGGTTGGAGTTTTTATGTAGATATCTATCTGTGTGTGTGGGTTTTCTGTAGACGGTGTGACCCAATTGTTGATCTGGTTTGCGGATGACTAGGACATCTAGAAAAGGCAGTCTTCCTTCATTTTCTTTTTCCATGGTGAACTGGATGTTTGGGTGGATGCTGTTGAGATGGTCCAGGAACCTGTTGAGTTCTTCTTCTCCATGGCTCCAAATGGTGAAAAGTGTCATCCACATATCTGAACCATTGTTGGTGTTGTTCATTCGTTCAGTCGTCTCCGACTCTTCGTGACCTCATGGACCAGCCCACGCCAGAGCTCCCTGTCGGCCGTCACCACCCCCAGTTCCTTCAAGGTCAGTCCAGTCACTTCAAGGATGCCATCCATCCATCTTGCCCTTGGTCGGCCCCTCTTCCTTTTACCTTCCACTTTCCCCAGCATAATTGTCTTCTCTAGTCTTTGCTGTCTCCTGAACCATATCATGGGCTTTTATTGTGATGTATTAAAAGGATCATTGGCCTGGGAATCATTAGGTATGCCTTCCATCAATTACCTTTTCCATTTCTTCTTTTGCTAGGCCAACCAAACTAGAGATCAGACATGCTGCGGATGTGTCAGAATTGAGAAAAAAACTGCCCGACGAAGCATTTCGAATAAAAAATTATTCCAATCATGAAGGTACAGTTTAAAGTGATATTAATTATGGAGAGAACTATGTATTTCATTTCTTTGTCTAAAATGGCGTACAACTCCAAGTTTGTTTTTTTCACAGATATTTTTAAACCTTGGTTGGTTGAATCTGTGGATATAGAACCTGTGGTTACTGTGTTTTTCATCTCTTTGTTCTTACTTATAAAGCCGACCCTTAGTATCTTTTGGGGTTTGATTCTAGGACACCTCATACATATATATTTTAATCCTTATTTATTATTTATTTGGAAGTTTTCTATACCGGCCTTCTCACCTCAAACGAGGGACTCAGGTCGGTTTATACAACATATATGCAAATACAATAATATATAAGTACAACAGAGTGCAACATCATTACAGATTAAAATAGTACAATAAAGTACAATATATTTACTGTATATACTTGACTATAAGCTGTCCTGAATATAAACTGAGGCACCTAATTTTACCACAAAAAACAAACAAACAAAAAACGAGGAAAACGTATTGACTCGAGTATAAGCTGAGGGTGGGAAATGCAGCAGCTACTGGTAAATTTCAAAAGAAAAATAAATACCAATAACATTACATTAATTGAGGTTACATATTTTTGAATATTTACATAAAACTGTAATTTAAGATTAGATTGTCCAGCTCTGATTAAACTCTTATTCTAACTTTCTTCAATGTAAATGTGCATGAGTATCCTTCCAATAATAATAGAGTAAAATAATAAATGTAATAAAAATAATAATAGAGTAAAATAATGGAAACATAATAATACATTTAATAATAGAGTAAAATAATAGAAATGTAATAATGTAATAATAGAGTTGAATAATAAATGTAATAATAATAGAGTAATATAATAAATATAATAACAATAAGAGTAAAATTATAAATGTAATAAAAATAAATAGAGTAAAATAATAAAAATAAATAGAGTAAAATAATAAATATAATAATAATAATAAATAGAAAAAATAATAACTATAATAATAATAGAGAAAAATAATAAAAATAATGACAGAGTAAAATAATAAATAACTTTGACTTGAGTATAAGCTGAGGGGGACTTTTTCAACCTAAAAAAGGGCTGAAAACCTAGGCTTATATTTTAGTATATATAGTATTTTAATATATGTATTTTGTGATTATGTGTTTGAAGGTATCTATGTATCTATTTATGGCGATCTGTTTTAACTGTGTTGTGTCCTGCCTCGAGCCATGAGGAGTGGCAGGTAGCAATTAAAAATGCTTTGAATATGTTTTAAATTTGTTTTTAAGGGTTTTAACTCTTTTATTTTTAATATCATTTATATTTAATTCTGCATTAGTGTTTATATATTTTTAGGTTTTAATTTGTATTGCATTTGTCTTTACTGTAAGCAGCTTTGTAGTGAGAGAAATCGGGGTATAAGTATATCATTATTATTACTATTGTTTTTGTTGTTGTTTATTATATCCAAATCTGGGGATGCTCAAGTCCCCTTAGATGCAATGACAGAGTAAAATGGGAAACCTGCTATAAAATGATGCACAACCGCAATGAATAATGCTCAACACAATATAATGGTCCCCCTCTTAATGCATGAATTCTGCATCCATGACTTCAACCACCCATGACCAACCCACCCTCCATTAAAAAAGCAAAACTTGATTTTGCCATTTTATAAAAGAGACACCATTTCTACTATGCTTTTGTATATAATGGGACTTAGGCGTCCATGGCTTTGGATATCCACGATGTGTTTGTGTGTCCTGGAATCAAAAACCCAGTGGATACAAAAGGTATTCTGTTTGACTTAATTTACAGAGATCTTCAGTGATAACATATTATTATTATTATTATTATTATTATTATTATTATTATTATTATTATTTGAACTTGTTTTTGAACCCCCCCCCCCAAAAAAAAAAAAAACAACCAAAACACCGCAGTAATTCTCTTACAGATCTATTATGGTAATAAATACTTTTTATTCTGTTTTTCTGTCTTCTTTCTTTCTGTCTTTCTTTCTTTCTTTCTGTCTTTCTTTCTGTCTTTCTTTCTACACTCTTTAAAAAGTATTTGTTTTTCTTGCAGTCAAATGTCAAGACTCCTTATTCTGTTTATACGAAGTGGAAATATTAAATCAAAATGAACCAAAAGTGGTGCAGTTAATAGACAGTTTGAAAGAAAAAAAGCTGGTAAGCACATGCAGGCTGGGGCTGCTAATTGTCATGATTTTTTTGGAATGAGCTTATTCTTGTCTACTGATTATCCCTTGCAGATTGATGTCCAAAATTGCCTACCTGGGTGGCTGGGATAGTGGCATTTTTGTTTTCTGATGGTTTTATTTCATGCACAGAATGATTTTTTTAAATGGTAAATAATAGTATCTCTAGGCCATGAGTTTAAAATTCTAAATGAAATATCAATGCATTTTGGATTTAGACTTGTGTTTCATTTCCAAGATTTCTCCTTATATACATGTATGAGGATATGGGTATTTTAAAATCTGAAGCAAAACCCAAAATATGGAATGCTTCTGGTCCCAAGAATTTTGGATAAGCAAAATAAGTATTTGTTTCTGTTAAAGTGCGCCTCTATCATCCAGATAAAGCATTTCACGTTTCAGTATGTGTTGGCTGGAACAAATTTAGCAATAAGCTATACCTTAAGATTTCACATTCTGAACTATTTTTAGTCTGAAAAGACTGAAAAGAAATCTTACAAGACCCAAATGACTTGTCAGAAGTAGACCTTACTAATATCAAGATGTGAAATACATCAGAAATCAGACATGCCCCAACGCTGGCAGTCTTTAGGAGGAGCCTGAAAACGCGGTTGTTCTAGTGTGCCTTCCCAGAATAAGGAAACTTCCAGCAATATGTCCCTAAATGCACTTTATTAGTGATCTAGGATTGTCTGCATGCCCTATTCCTCTCCGAAAATTTTATCCTAGTTATATTTTACCTGTTCATGCTCAGCATTATCTTTAAATTTTAATTATTACATTTGGCCCAGCCATAGGTTTTAAATGTCGTTGTGTTACTGTTAATGTTTATTGCTTATTTTTGTTATGAGTTTTATTTTATTGTTTTGTATTATTTGTTGTTATTGCTTTTATTATTGATGTATTGTGGGTTCGGCCTCACGTAAAAAATAATTGGTTATTGTTTTTGTTGTTGTATTGTGGGCTTGGCCTCATGTAAGCTGCACCGAGTCCCTTGGGGAGATGGTAGCGGGGTACAAATAAAGATGATGATGATGATGATGATGATGATGATGATGATGATGATGATGATGATGATTATTATTATTATTATTAAATACGTTCATATTTCTAGTCAGGATGCAATGGTAATAAAAGCTTATACTTTCACAATAGTGCATGATTCTGATGAATCTCGAGGAGATTCATCAGAATGGAAATTGAGCCCTGCTCAGTTTTTGACAGGCCTTTAAAGTACTAAAAATCTAATCTTATCACACATCTTTGTGTGATTGTGCTTTTCCTGCATGGCAGGGGGTTGGACTAAATGGCCCAGCTTTATTATTCTATGTTTCTATCTCTTTCCTGGTGTGTGCAAGGCAAAGTTTGGATGCTCCTTAGCAGTGTATTTTGATGTCATGTTATGAGTTTCCTCTGTTTGATTGCAGTCATCCCTTAAGTATTTGTTCCTTGTTCAGACTTTCAGAGCTTTATTTGTTTAGGGTTTTAACTGTTGGACCCTCACTTCATATTGGATGTGTGTGATAATTTCTGCCTATTCAGTGGCTAGAGTCACGCCTCTAGGTTTGTTCGATTCAGCGGTTGAGAACACTCAACCATAGATGCAGGCGAAACATCAGGAGAAAACTTCCAACAGACCTCACTACCTCTGAGGATGCTTGCCATAGATGCAGGCGAAACATCAGGAGAAAAATTGCCTCCAGAACATGGCCATATAGCCCGGAAAAACCTACAACAACCCAACTTGGGAAAAGTTTATTAAACTGCAAAAAGTTTGTTTTTGAGGGACATGCTGCATCATATTTTGCTATAGTTTTTGCTATGGTTGAGATCATCGAGTCTGCAATTCAATATATTGTCGAAGGCTTTCATGGCCGGAATCACTGGGTTGTTGTAGGTTTTTTTGGGCTACATGGCCATGGTCTAGAGGCATTCTCTCCTGACGTTTTGCCTGCATCCATGGCAAGCATCCTCAGAGGTAGTGAGGTCAATTCAATATAGTTTGTGGCAGCCACATAAACAAAGTCTCTGAAATAGAACAACTACCTTCGAAGTAAGGACCACACAATTAAACAGGAAATAACACTTTCAATCCAGGAACAGAAAAAAATCAAATTGTGTTACATAGTGATATATTACATTAGAATATGAATTAGTATGGGACTTGGATAACTACTATTCAGGCTGACTTGTTGAAACTGGAAGGGCAGAGTCTGAGAATGTCTGCTTTAAGAATCACATCTGGCTGAGCTACATCTGAAGGTGCCTTTTGTCAAAATTACTGAGATTTGCAGAATAGGCATATTGTTGCAAATGTAAGGCAATTTGCAGTCAAAGCTGTTGCAAAAATCCCAATAAAAACCAGTGCAGGAAGAAGATAAAAGCAGGATCAGAAGCTTGAAGGAAAACGTACCAGTTTTAAGCTGGCTGGGCTTTGTTCTCTCTTGGGCAGCCAGAAGTGAAAGTAAAAAGTCAGGGTGTCTCTTCTCACGTTGCCAGTTGTGGATGTTCAGAAAGTGAAACTGGACTACGTCATCTCCGTTCACGTTCCTTTGAAGGCAAAGGACAAACATGATTTCATATTCATGCTCCCGGGAGATAGGCTCTGATTGAGAGGATATCACTTTGAGCATTAACCCACGATGCAGCTTCTCCACACACCTGAAATATGAGGATAATACATGGACTTTGTTTACAGTATTGATGTGGAGCTTGCAAGAAGCTTGCCTTTTGTACATGCAGCTAGATAGATATTATTTTACTCCCAAGTGTGGATATCTTGACAATAAGAGAAAAATACACAATGCCATTAGATGAAAATGCCTGTATATGTGGTCCCCGAGTTACAAACATCTGACTTACAAACAACACATAGTTACAAATGGGGGTGAGACAACAGGAAGTGAGAGAAATCTACCCCTCAGAAGGGAAATTCACTCCTGGAAGAGTTATCATGGGGGAAAGGGGTCTCCACTGAAGCTTTCTCACCAATCCTTCTTTCCACAACAAGCCAAATTTTTCAAAATCCAAGTATCACAGGGACAGAAAATGAGAGTGAAATCTTCTGAACAGGACAGCAAAACAAATACAACAGGAGTGTTAACTTTTCCCTTTGCCATCAAATGTGTGTGTGTGTGTATATAGATAGATGATAGATAGATAGATAGATATAGATATAGATATAGTGGGACTTCTTTTAAAGATAATAAGATTGTTTACTGATAACTTCATGTATCTAAAGATACAGGCACATTTCTGGTTCGGGCCCCATCTATCTCTGCGATTGCATGTCCCCTTTTGAACCAGCACGAGCTCTAAGATCAGCCGGGGAGGCCCTCTTCTCACTCCCACCACCGTCCCAAGCATGGTTGGTGTGGATGAGGGAGAGGGCCTTCTCAGTGGTGGCCCCCTGACTCTGGAACACCCTCCCCAGAGAGATAAGTCAAGCCCCGTCACTGTCTTTCTTCCGCAGGGACCTGAAAAACTGGTGGTTCCAGTAGGCCTTTGGAAATTATTACCCCAGACCCTTCCCTGGCCACCAGCTAGGACCCTGGCCTGCACTTTCTCCATCTCCCCGGCCATTGCACTAGCCCTTGTCCAGCTCTCTCATAACTGACTAGGTCCACTTTGTAATTCCTGGCCATTGGTAATTGAATTCCTGCTGATGGAGAAATACTAATACTGCTTTTAAATGGTTGTGATTGTTTTTCGTTTCTGTTTTTGTTATAGGATTTAGGTTTGGGCTTTATAATATCTATTTTGTATGGTTTTTGTACCATTCGGTAATTAAATGTTTTGCCTATGTTGGAAACCGCCCTAGCAGTATACAAATAAAGTGTTGTTGTTGTCGTTGTTAGTTAGTTAGTTAAATACTTTAGAAACGTTTCAGAGAGTTTGTATCTTGAATGTATAATCTTTAACAGTTTCTTCATAAACTATGTTGCTTTATACAGCAGTCTTTAAAAGAATTTACTTTCAAATAGAACATGAGCCTCGATAGTTTCTAAGTCCCTAACATTAGCTTCTGCACTCTTAACAGGCTCAAGCTCCAACTGACATTCCCTAACTGTCATCCTGTTTCAAACTGAACATTCTAAACAGTCACCGAGTCGGTCACATGACTGCAGCCCCTCCCACCGCTTTAGGTATATAGAGATAAGGAAACTGAAAATCAAATAAGACATATACGTCAGGTTATAAAATGACACATTATTAAAAACAGACAAACATCATACAGAGAAGGCTTGAGATGGTTGCTTCTTCCAACACAAGCTTTCTGTAAATAGAGAAGGCTTGAGAAGGTTGCTTCCTCCAACAAAAGATGATTAAATTACTTTCTCCATTCCTTGCAGGCACTTGTCAAATATCTAAACGACCAAGGGGCTCTCATCTTACTTGCCTCCTCTGCCTTTGTGGAAGAAAAAGGTATGAATACAAAGTATGAAGCTTACACCAAAATTAAAATGTCACCCATGCATATGCTTTGCAGAAGATTCAGATTTGTATCACATATCCCTCTGTCTTTTTCCTCCTTAGAAGCTGGCTTAGACGGACATCCGCACCTTCAGGCCTTGTTTCTGATTTCATCACCAGAGTCAAAGAATACAACAGGTACAATTGCTTTGCTTGGTAAAGTTACTCCTTTTGAAGCTTAGAAACAAGTGGCAACTTTACTCTTTCACTCACTCACTTCTTTTTTCAACTCATTTTCCTGCTCTCCATCTTGACTTTTCTGTCAGTCTCCAGTGATATCAGAATCAGCAGACTCTAGGGCAGGGGTCCTCAAACTAAGGGCTGGGGGTTGGATACAGCCCTCCAAGGTCGTTTACCCGGCCCTCACTCAGGGTCAACGTAGGTCTGAAACCACTTGAAAGCACACAACAACAACAATCCTATCTCACTAGCCAAAAGCAGGCCCACACATCCCATTAAAATAATAATAAGTTTCTATTTGTTAAAATTGTTCTTCATTTTAATTATTAATTCTAATTTTAATTTTATTTCTCACACCAGAAGCGACTTGCAGTTTTTCAAGGCATTCCTGACACGACAAAAAAAAAAAATATTGTATTGTTTTTAAGTGTTTTTGCACTACGAATAAGATATGTGCAATGTGCATAGGAATTCATTCGTGTTTTTTAAAATTATAATCTGGCCCTCCACCAGTTTGAGGGACTGTGACCTGGCCCTCTGTTTAAAAAGTTTAAAACAGATTAAAATACAATACGTAACATCAGTTAAAAAACGTAACTGTTTAAACTAGATAACAATGTGGAAAGAACATATACAACCCGTACACATTGAAACAATTGATCCATCATTCAACGTTTCTAATATAAACATCATCTGGATAGTCTTGTTGGAAGAGCCTGGTCTTTAAAGCTGTTTTAAAGTCAATCATCGTATTGACTTTATGAGGCAGACTATATGGGAAGAGGCGGACCTGTAGGTAGCCTGTTTCCAAACCATTTAGGGCTTCATAGGTAACAACCAAGATTTGTTACCTTGCCTGTAAACTAATTGGCAGCCAGGTTTTTTGTGTATGTGTGTGTCAGGAGCGACTTGAGAAACTGTAAGTTGCTTCTGGTGTAAGAGAATTGGCCGTCCACAAGAATGTTGCCCAGGGGACGCCCAGATGTTTGATGTTTTACCATCCTTGTGGGAAGCTGCTCTCATGTCCCCGTATGGGGAGCTAGAGCTGACAGTGGGAGTTCACCCAGCTCCACTATATATACTCTATATAGGGGCCCCTGGTGGCGCAGTGGATTAAACCCCTGTGCCGGCAGAACTGAAGACCGATAGGTCGCAGGTTCGAATCCGGGGAGAGGCGGATGAGCTCCCTCTATCAGCTCCAGCTCCTCATGCGGGGACATGAGAGAAACCTCCCACAAGGATGATAAAAACATCAATTCATCTGGGCGTCCCCTGGGCAATGTCCTTGCAGACGGACAATTCTCTCACACCAATACCGACTTGCAGTTTCGACAAAAAAAAAAAAAACCAGCTCCATGGATTTAAACCACTGACTTTTGGTCAGCAGTCCTGCCGGCACAAGGGTTTAATTCATTGTGCAACTGGGGCTCCGGCATCCATTCGAGTGGTTTTAATACTGGTACTTCTTAGAGGTACTAGTAACCAATCTGGCTGCCATGGTTTGAATGAAACCTTCAGAGTATTGTTGAAGGCTTTCATAGCCGGAATCACTGGGTTGTTGTAGGGTTTTTTGGGCTATATGGCCATGTTCTAGAGGCATTCTCTCCTGGCATTTTGCCTGCATCTATGGCAAGCATCCTCAGAGGTAGTGATGGCAAGCATCCTCATCTCACTATCTCTGAGGATGCTTGCCATAGATGCAGGCAAAACGTCAGGAGAGAATGCCTCTAGAACATGGCCATATAGCCTGAAAAAAACCTACAACAACCCAGAAACCTTCAGAACTTGGTATTTCATTAGTTCAGTGCACACTCAAAATGACCTCTAAGGGAAGTAGAAGGCATTTCCTCAATATTTGGAGCTCCCTGGACTAGGATTCTAAGCACATTTTTGCAATTAAAAAATGAAAGGAGAACCTTGGTCTTTGGAACATGCAAGCCCTTAGCTTGTACTGTATGACCCCTGTATCCATGGGGATGGGGATATGTTCCTGGAGTTTTTGTGGATACATGAAACTACAGATATTGAATCCTATGAAAATGAAGGCCTTTTTGCCCAAGAATACGATGGGAGGCATGCTGGAAGACCTCAAAGATGACTCAAGTGGATATATTTGTCAGATAAATGAAACTTTGGATACCAGTGCTGTGGACTCAAGGAGTCCCCAAGGGTTGGTGGATCATCAGTCTTGCATGTGAACACACACACACACAGTATCTTCATTTTAAACTGCTTTAATTGTGTAGTCGTTTGATAAGTTACAATGTCATTTGGTCTTGCAATCAGCTTTAGAAACCACTGATCTGACTCTTCTTGGTGTCTTATTTCAGCCGATCCTTAATCCTAGAATCCAGTCTGGTGAGTGGCAAGATGCATGGCATATGCATCGTTAAAAAAAATTAAAAAAAATTAAAAAAAATTGCCACTCTGCTTTTTTCTCAATCTTGTCATGAGGGGAACAGCAGGCTATATGTAAAATGTTATTTTTAGCATAGATTTTTCTCTCTAGAAGCATGAGAAAGCCTTGATTTACATTCATTTGCTCCTCCTGCCATTTTTCACAACACTGTACAGTGCGCGTTGTATTTTCTTTTGCATTCATTTTGTGCACATTTCCCTAAAGCTTTGTGTGTCTTCTTGGTAGCAAGCGACTGGAAATGTGAATGCAAGGACAATGAGAGATTGTCGCAAGTCGCTTTGGTTCTGCCCGCCCTGCGCCATGCCTTGCTGGAAGGTGCCCAGCCTCCAGGCAAAGAAGGCTCTCCTCCTGGCACTTTGGTTCAGTGGCGGATCCGGGAATTTGCAAAGCAGTGTAAGAAGTCAGTGGCCGTTTCCTACACTCCCGAAACCCCGCCCGTCTCTTTCGATACGTTCCTAAAAAAGTCTGAGCTTGAAGCTGTCTCTGAAAAATACCCTCCAAACTCTTTCGCCTACTTGCAGCATTACTTGTTGCACCCACAAAACTATATGTTGGAAATGACAGTGGCTGTGGCCTGCATGGATGCCACTTCTGAGTCTCCCAATAATGCCCAGGACCCAGACAGTTCTTCCGGCTCAAATCTGGACCTAATGTCTCCCGAGGCGCAGTTGAATCCGCAGAGCGGTGAAGATGCCACAAGTACGGACCTGGCGGGTGGGAGCCCTTTACAGCCCTGGAAGAGGAAATCCAGCAGGCTCCTTGGGGCAAGCGCCCGGAAAATATGGTCCCCGCTGAAAGCTCTGTGCCTCATTGGAAATAGCAACAAGCGGAAGAAACTCAAGAAGAGCCCCTCCCCACCGGCTTTTAAAACACTGGAACCCCCAGTAAACTCTCAGAAACTCACACTTCAATTAAAAAAACTCCAGAATCCACTAAGGGGGAAGAGGGGTGAGTATGGACTAGCTTCTCACAGGGAACCTTTTGTTCCTTATTGGGTTGTGTTTGGAGGTCCTTCCTTTCTTCCTGTGTCCCTCCCTCCTTTGTTCCTGACTCCCTTTATTCCTCCCTATTTTCCTTCCTTCCTTTCCCCCTTCCTTTCCTTCCTCCCTCCCTCCCTCCCTCCCTCCCTCCCTCCCTCCCTCCCTCCTTTGTTCCTCACTCCCTTTATTCCTCCCTGTTTTCTTTCCTTTCCTTCCCTCCCTCCCTCTTCTCTCCTTCTTTCCCTCTTCCTTCCTTCCTTCCTTCTTCTTCCTTCCTCCCTCCCTCCCTCCCTCTTTCCTTCCTTCCTTTATTCCTTCCTTCCTTCCTTCTCTTCCTTCTCCCTCCCTCCTTTTCCTCTCCTTTCCTTCCTTCCTTCCTTCCTTCCTTCCTTTTCCTCCTTCCCTCCTTCCTTCCTCCCTCCCTCCCTTCCTTCCTTCCTTCCTTCCTCCCTTTCCTCCTCCTTTCCTTCCTTCCTTCTCCTTCCTTCCTTCCCTCCCTCCTTTCCTCCTCCTTTCCTCCTTTCTTTCCTTCCTCTTCCCTCCTTTCCTTCCTTCTTCCTTCCTTCCTTCCTTCATTCTCCTTCCTTCCTTCCTCCTTCCTTCCTTCTTCCTTTCCCTCCCTTCCTTTCTCCTCCTCCCTTTTCCTCCTTTTTCCTTCCTTCCTTTCCCCCTTCCTTCCTTCTCCTCCCTCCTCCCCCCCTTCCTCCTTCCTTCCTTCCTTCCTTCCTTCCTTCCTTCCTTCCTTCCTTCCTTCCTTCCTTCCTTTCCTCCCTTCCTTGTTTATTTTCTCCTCTCTTCCTTCTTTCCTTTGTTCCTGAACCCCTTTCTCCCTCCCAATTTTCCTTCCTTTGGGCCTTCCTTTTCCCCTCCCTCTCTTTTAGGTCATCCAGATATTTCACAGAATCTAAGATGCCATCAAATGTGTAGCGCACCCCCCCCCCTTTTTTTTTGAAGCTTAAATTTTAGGGTAAAAAAATAATTATCTTTGAATATTTGTTGGAATTTCCTCTGCATGCACAATACCTTGTTTTTATTTCAACCTGGAAGTCATCTTGCCTGCAGGAGTCTTTTTTACTAGTTCTGTTTGCCTGTTGGAGGTGAGACACTTTTGGAGCTACAAGGCCATTGTAAGGTGCACCCTGCTTTTGGAGGCCCAATACTAGGGAGAAGTGTGCTTTAGAATTGGTGAAATTCATTACTTCTGACTGGAGTTACTACAGAACCACACTGGCAATTTCTTAGCAAGGGTACTTCTTTTGCTAGGACCTCCAGAGTGACTCTGTAGTAACTTCCAGCAGAAGTTGTTCATTTCAGTAGGGTTCCCTATCATCCACTAATTTTCCAATTTTCCATTCAGGGATGTATCCACCATGGATATGGGGGGCGTAGTATACATTTTCTGGGGCAGAGGCTGTATCACTTCTTTCTGCTAGCTCCTATGCACTCTTTAGGTTGTCATAAAAGGTGAATAGTGAGGCTGATGGTTGGGTCTTTCTTCTAAAAAGGGGCTGTCTTTTGCCAGGTGCCGAGGTTTTGTCTGCAGAATTTGTGCAAGAAACACCACCCGAGTCACCCATCAATACCATATCCTCTCCTGGGACGGAGAAAAAGGCCCGGCTCTTGAGGCACAAAAAGGATGAAGAAAAGCCCCAAAGCGAGGAACGAATGGAGACCGGGAGGCGTGGTAGGATCAGGATGCTTCTGAGATAGAAATGGTTATTTTGTGGTTTTGCGCCTTCTTGCTTGTGATGACCTAAAGGCAAACACATCATGGGTTTTTCTTGGCACAATATGTTCAGAGCAGGTTTTGTCCGGGGCCACTCAGTGGATTTCCATGATTGAGAATTTGAACCTTGGTCCCTGGAACATTTATGCCACCATGGGTGCATCTCCATTGTAGAATTAATGCAGTTTAATACTACTTGAACTTCTCTGGCTCCATTCTGTGGAATCCTGGGATCTGTAGTTTGGTGTGCTAAAGGCTAAAGACCTTAGAAATGTTCAGGGTGCTGTACATAAACTACTGTATTTACACAAATATAATATGCCATCAAATCTAAAGCTCAACCTAATTTTCAGAACCTTGAAAAAAACACCCAAATATTTAGGTTCTTGTGGGTTTTTTCGGGCTATAGGGCCATGTTCTAGAGGCATTTCTCCTGACGTTTCGCCTGCATCTATGGCAAGCATCCTCAGAGGTAGTGAGGTCTGTTGGAATTAGGACAATGGGTTTATATATCTGTGGAATGGCTGGGGTGGGGCAAAGAGCTCTTCTCTGCTGGAGCTAGGTGTGAATGTTTCAACTGACTACCTTCATTAGCATTTGAAGGCCTGGCTGAGCCTGGGAAAATCTTTTGTTGAGAGGTGTTAAGATGTGCCTGGTTGTTTCCTCTCTGCTGTTTTGCTGTTGTAATTTTAGAGTTTTTTAATACTGGTAGCCAGATTTTGTTCATTTTCATGGTTTCCTCCTTTCTGTTGAAATTATCCACATGCTTGTGGATTTCAATGGCTTCTCTGTGTAGTCTGACATGGTGGTTGTGAGAGTGGTCCAGCATTTCTGTGTTCTCAAATAATATACTGTGTCCAGGTTGGTTCATCAGGTGCTCTGCTATGGCTGATTTCTCTGGTTGAAGTAGTCTGCAGTGCCTTTCATGTTCCTTGATTCGTGTTTGGGCAATGCTGTGTTTGGTGGTCCCTATGTAGACTTGTCCACAGCTGCACCCAAATATTTGTTGGAATATGTAGTGTGCTGTGGCAAAAAATGCACTCTTTACAACAAGTTTTTATTACAAACTAGCTGTCCCCTGCCATGCGTTGCTGTGGCCCAGTCTGGTGATCTGGAAAATAAAGTAATAGTTTCTAATATATGTAATTCCTTTATGCTCGTGGGTAAACAGTATTTCTTGCTGTTTCTATGTCAGTGTTGATGTGGAGATTGGCTGGTTTGCCTCCTCTGGAACATGCAACATATAATAGTCCTTTTTTAGGGGTCCCTTTCAAATCGATGATACTATATCTGTGTGTGTGTGAAACATATATATCTATCTAGAGTATTAGCCTATCCGAATGTAAGCTGAGACACCTAATTTTACCACAAATAACTGGGGAAATTGATTGACTCGAATATAAGCCGAGGGTAGGAAATGCAGCATTTATGGGTCATTTTCAAAATAAAAATAGATACCAATAAAATTACATTAATTGAGGCATCAGTTGGTTTTTTGAATATTTACATAAAACTATAATTCAATATAAGACTGTCCAACTCTTATTCAACCATTATTCTAACCTTCTTCAATGTAAATATGCTTACGTGTCCTCCCAATAATAATAAATTCCAATAATAATAAATAGAGTAAAATAATAATAGAGTAAAATAATAATAGTAGTAGTAATAATAATAATAATAATAATAATAAAGTAAAATAATAAATGTAACAACAACAACAACAACAACAACAACAACAACAGAGTAAAACAATAAATAACCTTGACTCAATTATAAGCCGAGGCTAACTTTTTCAGCCTAAAAAAGGGGCTGAAAAACTAGGCTTATACTTGAGTATATACTATCTATATCTATGGCTGGATGGCTCTTTGTCAGGAGGGCTTTGATTACGTTTTCTTGCCCTGGTGAAGGGAGTTGGACTGGATGGCCTTAAGTATGGTGGTTCTGTGTGGGAAGTTTGCCCCAATTCTGTCGTTGGTGGGGTTCAGCATGCTCTTTGATTGTAGGTGAACTATAAATCCCAGAAACTACAACTCCCAAATGTCAGGGTCTATTTTCCCCAAACTCCACCAGTATTCATATTTGGGCATATTGAGTATTCATGCCAAGTTTGGTCCAGATCCATCATTGTTTGAGTCCAAAGTGCTCTCTGGATGTAGGTGAACTACAACTCCCAAACTCAAGGTCAATGCCCAACAAACCCTTCCAGTATTTTCATGGGAGTTCTGTGTGCCAAGTTTGGTTCAATTCCATCGTTGATGGAGTTCAGAATGCTCTTTGATTGTAGGTGAACTATAAATCCCAGCAACTACAACTCCCAAATGACAAAATCAATTTTTTTGAGTGAAGGACATACATTGGGTTGTTAGGTATCTTGTGTCCAAATTTGGTGTCAATTCGTCCAGTGGTTTTTGAGTTCTGTTAATCCCACAAACGAACATTACATTTTTATTTATATATACTAGCTGTACCCGGTCTCGCGTTGATGTGGCCCAGTCTGGTGATCTGGAAAATAAAGTAATGAGAAAGTGTTGGTTTCTAATATATGTAATTTCTTTATGCTTGTGGGTAAACAGTAATTTTTGCTGTTTCTTTGTCAGTGTTGATGTGGAGTGTCTGGTTTGCCCACCCTGGAACATGCAACAATCATTTTCCTTCTTTAAGGGTCCCTTTCGAATCTATGATACTATATCTGTGTGTGAGAGAGATAATCATATCTATCTATAGTTATGACTGGAGGGCTCTTTGTCAGGAGGGCTCTGATTACATTTTCTTGCCCTGGAGAAGAAGGGAGTTGGACTGGATGGCCTTAAGTATTTTCTGTTAGTCATGGGGGTTCTGTTTGGGAAGTTTGCCCCATTTCTGTCATTTGTGGGTTTCAGAATGCTCTTTAATTGTAGGTGAACTATAAATCCCAGTAAGTATAAATCCCAAATGTCAAGGTCTGTTTCCTCCAAACTCCATCTGTGTTCATATTTGGGCATATGGAATATTTGTGCCAAGTTTGGTCCAGATCCATCATTGTTTGAGTCCACAGTGCTCTCTGGATGTAGGTGAACTACAACTCCCAAACTCAAGGTCAATGTCCACCAGACCCTTCTAGTGTTTTCTGTTGGTCATGGGAGTCCCATGTTTGGTTCAATTCCATCATTGGTGGAGTTCAGAATGCTCTTTGATTGTAGGTGAACTATAAATCCCAGCAACTACAACTCCCAAATGTCAAGGTCTATTTCCCTTAAACTCCATCTGTGTTCATATTTGTGCATATGGAATATTTCGTGCCAAGTTTGGTCCAGATCCATCATTGTTTGAGTCCACAGTGCTCTCTGGATGTAGGTGAACTACAACTCCCAAACTCAAGGTCAATGCCACCAAACCCTTCCAGTATTTTCTGTTGGTCATGGGAGTTCTGTGTGCCAAGTTTGGTTTATTTCCATCATTGGTGGAGTTCAGAATGCTCTTTGATTGTAGGTGAACTATAAATCCCAGCAACTACAACTCCCAAATGTCAAGGTCTATTTCCCCCCAAACTCCATCAGTGTTCATATTTGGCCATATTGAGTATCATGCCAAGTTTGGTATACCCCCCCCCCCCCCCCCCCAGAAGACTTGGCACCCCCCAAATCCGTCCCAAAAGGAGCCCCCCCCCCCCCCCCCCCCCCCCCCCCCCCCCCCCCCCCCCCCCCCCCGCATATTTGGGCAATGGATATTCGATGCCAAGTTTGGGTCCAGTAGCCATAATTGGTTCAGAATGCTCTTTAGAATCCCAGTAATACAACTCCCAAATGTCAAGGTCTATTTCCCTTAAACTCCATCTGTGTTCATATTTGGGCATATGGAATATTCGTGCCAAGTTTGGTCCAGATCCATCATTGTTTGAGTCCACAGTGCTCTCTGGATGTGGGTGAACTATAATTCCCAAACTCAAGGTCAATGTCCACCAACCCTTTCCAGTTTTTTCTGTTGGTCATGGGAGCCCTGTGTGCTAAGTTTGGCCCAATTCAGAATGCCCTTTGATTGTAGGTAAACTATAAATCCCAGCAACGACAATTCTCAAATGACAAAATCAATTTTTTTGAGTGGAGGACATAAATTGGACTGTTAGGTGTCTTGTGTCCAAATTTGGTGTCAATTTCCCCAGTGGTTTTTGAGTTCTGATGATAACACGAACTAACATTACATTTTTATTTATATCGATTAGGCTCTGTAATAGTTGAAGAGTTTCATTCCTAGGTTCTTGTAGGTTTTTTCGGGCTATAGGGCCATGGTCTAGAGGCATTCTCTCCTGACGTTTCGCCTGAATCTATGGCAAGCATCCTCAGAGGTAGTGAGGTCTGTTGGAAATAGGAAATGGGTTTATATATCTGTGGAATGACTGGGGTGGGGCAAAGAGCTCTCTGCTGAAGCTAGGTGTGAATGTTTCAGCTGACCACCTTCATTAGCATTTGAAGGCCTGGCTGAGCCTGGGAAAATGTTCTGTTGAGAGGTGTTAAGATGTGCCTGGTTGTTTCCTCTCTGCTGTTTTGCTGTTGTAATTTTAGAGTTTTTTAATACTGGTAGCCAGATTTTGTTCATTTTCATGGTCTCCTCCTTTCTGTTGAAATTGTCCACATCCTTGTGGATTTCAATGGCTTCTCTGTGTAGTCTGACATGGTGGTTGTTGGAGTTTCATTCCTGTTGCTATTACAGCAAGAGCTGTGTAACTGCTCAGCCCATAGCCAGGGTTTCGGTTACTCATGAAAACAGTCGCTCTAGGACATTTGTTATGATTCTATGGTAAACCTCCCTTCAGAACTTACTAGAAGGTTCTCCTGAAACTTCTTGCTGTTGATACCAAACAGGAGGAGTTAAAAAGGTCTTTGTTCAAAGGGCCGAACCAAATACTTGGGTTTCTGTAGCCCCTTCTGAACTCAAAATTGGATTCTGGTCCAAAATTTTCTGATTGGTGAGTTGGTTAATATGAATTCAAGGTTTATGTGGATGTGTCTTAATTGGTAGATTGATTTTTGTGGTTTTGTGCCTTCAGTAGTACTCTGTTCTCTGCATTTCTTCCAATCCCCTGGCCCTATACTAGGCTGTTTTGCACTATCCCATACTTTTTAAAGCCTGTTCATGCCCATTTTAGTATTTTTGGCTATTGGTTTTGTATTGTGTACTGTCTGGTTGAGTTTTAAGGGATGCTGTTTTTATATCTCTATGTTTTATTTAATTGTGTATTATCTGATCGTTATGTTTTGCTATGTTTTATTTTCATTGTATTGTGTTTTTAATGGATTGTTTGTTTTTTGCCTTATGTGTTGTGGACATTTTGTCCCATGTGTAAGCCACCCCGAGTTCCTTCGTGGAGATGGAGGCGGGGTATGAAAATGAAGTTGTTGTTGTTGTTATTATTATTATTATTTGAAACACAACAAGATAAGTCCACAACAAACACTCTGCTGGCTGTTGTATTGGATCACACGTCGGACCCTTCCCAAGTGCCTAGGACTATTATTATTATTATTATTATTATTATTATTATTATTATTACATTAATCATTTTACTCTATTATTATTACAATTATTATTTTATTCTTTATTCTTGTTATTATTACATTTATTATTTTATTATTCCTGTCATTATTATATTTCCATTATTTTACTTTATTATTATTATATTTAGTATTTTACTCTATTATTATTGTTATTATATTAATCATTTTACTCTATCATTATTACATTTATTATTTTATTCTTTATCATTGTTATGATTACATTTATTATTTTACTCTATTATTCCTGTTATTATTACATTTCCTTTTTATATAAATAAAATGTAATGTTCGTTTGCGAGATTAACATAACTCAAAAACAACTGGACGTATTGGCACCAAATTTGGACACAAGACACCTAACAACCCAATGAATGTCCTTCACTCAAAAAAATTGATTTTGTCATTTGGGAGTTGTAGTTGCTGGGATTTATAGTTCACCTACAATCATAAAGCATTCTGAACCCCACCAATGATGGAACTGAACCAAACTTGGCTCACAGTTCTCCCATGACCAACAGAAAATACTGGAAGGGTTTGGTGGGCAGTTTCCTTTGGTTTTGGAGTTGTAGTTCACCTACATCCAGAGATCACTGTGGACTCAAACAATGATGGATCTGGACCAAACTCTACACGAATACTCAATATGCCCAAATGTGAACACTGGTGGAGTTTGGGAGAAATAGAATCTTGACATTTGGGAGTTGTAGTTTCTGGGATTTATAGTTCACCTACAATCACAGAGCATTCTAAATCCCACCAACTATACAATTGGGCCAAACCTCCCACACAGAACGCCAGAGAGGGCCACAGCAACGTGTGGCAGGGGACAGCTAGTATATATACATACAATCATATTTAACTGTAGAGACACATAGACATAACTACGCTTAACTTACAGTTAAAAATCAATGCCTCATCACAGTCCCTAGATGTTTTGGCCTACAACTCCCAGAAATCCCAGCCCGTTTACCAGCTGTTAGGTGACCCACAAGTTGAGAACCACTGGTCTATACTAAGCTAACTAAACTGTTCCTCATGGAGGACTTGAGACTTGGGCAATGTGGGGTTGAATTCTAACACTGAGACACCCTCCTTTTTTCTTGAACAGTGACAAGGCGAAGTGCCCAGCGTCGTCTGGAGGAGACCACCTTGGAAGCCCAGAAGGAGGAGGGCGATGAGAACGACCCTGAGAGAGCAGCGGCTGGGAATGTTGATCCCTCCGGGAACAAAAAGGGATGCGACTCCCATGCTTTGAACCTGTTGGCTGATCTTGCTCTGAGTTCCTGTAATTCTCCCTTGATCAGTAACAGCAGCCAGTCCTCTTTGCCCGACAGCCCCTTGCATGAATGCCACAATCCGCAAAGAGGGGAAGTGTTGAACGACTCACTGGATGAAGAATACGACAGAGACACAGAGACACTACAAGGTGGATCCCTTTCTGGCAGAGCTCGTCAGCACTTCGTTTCATCTCCTGGGGAAGTTGGGCTGAGCCCGGAATTGCCTTCGAGCTCTCAGGAGGAAACCTATGCCAGAAAAAAGGGGAATGCAAAATCTGGTTCGTCAAAGTCCTGCACATCGGGAGAGACTTCGGACTCGAGCGTCCAGTCTTTGATTTCCAGCGAACACTCGTACGCCTCTCCATCTTATTCAAAGAGAAGAGCACTAGGTTATCCAAGTTCAAAGAATGGTGAGAAGTATGTGAAATACGGGCCTCTTCCTGGGAAAGTGTTACCTTTCCGGCATCAGCAGAACATTTGCCATCAGCAGAAGAGGATGATGGACAGTGTGCACTTTTCCCGCTCAGCCATCATGGCTGCAAGGTTAAAGGAAGACTTCGCCAAGTACCACAATGTGACTTTTTGTGACAGAACTGTGAAAGTGACCTTTCAGTGGGAGGCCAATTACCATTTTGGTTTGGATAGCAAATATACCAACAATTCCTTAGAGAAAACCATTGTTCGAGCTGTGCATGGGTAAGTAATTCTCAGGTTTGGGCTACTTTTCAGATCGTTGATCATTTTGGTTACCATCATAGAATCATTGAATCCTAAAGTTTGAAGAGACATTGTGGGTCATTCAGTCCAATCTCATTCTGCCAAGAAGCAGGAAAATCACATTCAAAGCACCCCTGACAGATGGCCATCCAGCCTCTGCTTAAAAGCCTCCAAGGAAGGAGCTTCCATTATGTTTTGGGGCAGAGAGTTCCACTGCTTATCAGCTCTCACAGTCAGGAAGTTCTTCCTAATGTTCAGGTGGAATTTCCTTTCCCTGTAGTTGGAAGTCATTGTTCCACGTCCAGTCTCCAGGGCAACAAAAACAAGCTTACTTCCTCCTCCCTATGACTCCCCCTCACATATTTATATAGAATCATAGAATCAGAGAGTTGGAAGAGACCTCATGGGCCATCCAGTCCAACCTCATTCTGCCAAGAAGCAGGAATATTGCATTCAAAGCACACCTTGTTGCGGAAGATTCGTTACCCGAGATCAGACGAGCACAATCAGGAAGGAAGAGAAAGGAGACAGCAACTGATTCCAGGCCTTTAATTCTATCAAGCTTGACAGGGTGTTCAGAAAACAATATCTGACACCCATTGGAAGTCAGATTTGCTCCAGCATTTATAGCATAAATTCTCAGGTTTACACATGCGCATATGGGTCTTGACATTTACACAATCTAATCAATATCAATTTGTCCTCGAGGAACCGAGGCCAAGAACAATTGTTGGCAAGATACTATAATTTCCACTGCTCCCCTTTCATCAGCTGACCAGCCACTTTCCCAGATGACTTACGTAATCTTTAGAATGAATCATAACTTCATATATTTCTCTTTATACATATGTCTTCATATATGTATCTTTAATTTATTCGAAGCATGCATTTCCCTTATTAATTCTCCTGTAATTACTTTCACAATACATTATTTTCCTCAGTTGATCATTTAAAAAGGGGTATGAAATTACCTGCTATTTTCATCAACCAGACAGGAGGTGGCGCTACTACTACATGACCTTTAGATGTTAGTTTTCGAATCAATAATATCGATTTAACTCATGAGCCAAGTTTCCTACCTCAGCCTTCAGCCTTTAGCCTTGGCTCCTTCAAATATTGACTTAAGATAGAGCCAGCCTAAAAGTTTTCTAAGTCATCTGTTAAATTTCTCTTCTACCAAAATCTCTACTTCCCACCCTCAAGAATGGACAGGTAAGCCTTACTACTCATTATTTTCATTTTAAATTATAATTATTTTATTTTTCTCCTTATGGCCACCACAACCGATGGCCATCCAGCCTCTGTTTAAAAGCTTCCAAAGAAGGAGCCTCCACCACACTCTGGGGCAGAGAGTTCCACTGCTGAACGGCTCTCAGAGTCAGGAAGTTCTTCCTAATGTTCAGATGGAATCTCCTTTCTTGTAGTTGAAGTCATTGTTCCACGTCCAGTCTCCAGGGCAGCAGAAAACAAGCTTACTCCCTCCTCCCTGTGACTCCCCCTCAAATATTTATTTATGGTTATCATGTCTCCTCTCACCCTTCTCTTCTTCTCACATATTTATACATGGCTATCATGTCTCCTCTCACCCTTCTCTTCTTCAGGCTAAACATGCCCAGCTCTTGAAGCCTCTCCTCATAGGGCTTGTTCTCCAGACCCTTGATCATTTTAGATACCCTCCTCTAGACACATTTGAGCTTGTCAGATTTTTCTGGAACTCTGGTGCCAGAACTGAACATGAAGTTAATCCAGGTCAGGTTTGACCAAAGCAGAATAGAGTGGGAGTAGGACTAGAACTCCACTTGATCCAGACATTAGGCTCTTTTTGATGCAGCTAGAATCACACTGGCTTCCTTGGCTGCCACATCACACTCTTGATTTTTCTTCAGGTAAAGAAGTAGTCCAGGAATACCTGGCTGCTCTAACTGAGTCTCCAGGGCCAAATGAACTACATCCAAGAGTACTGAAGGAACTAGCAGAGGTTATTTCACAACCACTGGCAATAATCCTTGAGAATTGTTGGAGAACAGGAGAAGTCTCGGCAGACTTGAGGAGGGCAAAGGTTGTCCCTGTCTTCAAAAAAAGAGGATCCAAACAATTACCTGTGTCCAATCAGCCTGATATCAATACCAGGAGCAGATCATTAAGGAGAGGCAGTCTGCAATCACTTAGAAAGGAAGGCTGTAAATACTAGAAGCATGGATTTCTCAAAAACAAGTCATGCCAGACTCATCTCTTTTTTCAATAGAGTTACAAGTTTGGTAGATGCAGGGAATGCTATGAACGGAGCATATCTTGATCTCAGTAAAGCCTTCAACAAATGCCCCCTTGACCTTCTTGCAAGTAAACTAGTCAAATGTGGGCTAGGTAAGGCTACTATTAGGTGTATCTGTAATTGGTTAAGCGACCGAACCCAAAGGATGGTTCCACTATATCCAGTGAAGTGCCAGAGGGTTAGGTCCTGGGCCCAGTTCTGTCCAACATCTTTATTAATGACCTAGATCAGGGGTAGGGAACCTTTGGCCCTCCAGCTGTGGTGGACTTCAACTCCCACAATTCCTTGAGGCTCGGCATCCGCCCCAAAGGCTTACCTTGGCCCAATGCCGAGCCTCAAGGAATTGTGGGAGTTGAAGTCCACCACAGCTGGAGGGCCAAAGGTTCCCTACCCCTGACCTAGATGAAGGTTTAGAGGGCATGCTGATCAAGAGTGCAAATGAGAAGGAATAGCTAATACTCCAAAGGATAGGATCAGAATTCAAAATGATCTCAACAGATTAGAGAGCTGGGCCAAAACAAACAAAATGAATTAGGCAGAAAAAAATGAAATGCAAAGACACAAGATGTGTGATGCTTGGTTTGACAAACGTCTGTGTGAAAAGGGACCTAAGAGCCTTAGTAGGCCAAAAGCTGAATATGTGTCAAGAGTCGAATCCAAAGGTCTTGTAGCACCTTAGAGATCAACGTTTGTAGCATGAGACAACAATGTGATGCAGCAGGACAGGTAGATCTTCTCAGTTTAAGAAATGGTGGCCTTGATTTTGCAAGACCTGATGAAGATTATTGATGAGTGGGGTTTGAGGGCTGTCATTCATAGTGGTTATTCATAGGGGTGCCATAAGTTGAAGCAAGTCAGCCTTATGTAACAAGAATTGTAGAGTTGGAAAGGATCCTGGGGTGAATTCCTTGTCATTGTCCTACCTGTAGAAGTTATATATAGAGAAATTTGCATCTGCACTACTTGGATAGCTTGAGTTTGAAATTGGATGGTTGTTGTTGCCATTTCTGCTTTATGGCAAGATATATGCACACCTTCCATGTGGTTTTCAAGGCAAGTTTTGTTGAGAGGAATTGTGCCATTGCCTTCATCTTTGGCTCAGATTAAGCTCCCCTTAGGCTTAGATTGACTTACCCAGGGGCTTCTCGGACTGAGCAGGGATTTGAGCCCTGGTCTGCCTGAATCCTAGTCAACACACAAACCACTGTAGCATACCGACTTCATTTTTATGACCTAGAAAGTGGTGAGGTACATACATACAGAAGATACTTACTGAGAAATGCAGGGCCCAAGAGTCATAGCCCTTTAGGCCATTGAGCTAAGAAAGCTTATAAACAGAGACATATTTTGTGCCCTTTTTCTAGGCCCTGGGACGTCAGCCAGTCCAATGACATAGAAGAAATGAAGCTGATCCTGCACATGTGGGTGGCTCTGTTTTACAGCAAGCCCTTCAAATACCCGACTGTAAGGAAAGTGGTTGAGCACAACAACCCGGCCAAATACATATCGCTGAACAGTGTTATAGACCCTATGGAGCTCATTGACGATTTGGAGGGTGCTTGCAGCTTGAAGAGATGCCCCGCTGATTCTCTTTCCGAGGCGAACCCACGGATGCCGAGACAAGTTCAAGAGAGAGCGGTTTCTTCCACTGTCAAACCCCTCTCATGTAATGAACTGTCCTCGACAAATCATGTCGAGGATGAGTTTCCCGCTGCCGATCCCACGGAACCCCACAGTCGTCCTTCAGAGATCCAAAGCAATGCCAGAACCTCTAAGGATACAGTTTCTCCCCTGGATAAGGTAAGGATTGGGTAGTCATTCCCTGCCCCAACTGTCATGTTTATGGGAAAGGAGGCTATTGGATATTAGAATTTCTAGCTGGGTAGTAAAACACTGCAGCAAACTTTATACCATATAGGAGAAAAGGCATCAGAGCTATATCTTTTATATTTATTTCTTTACTAGCTGTCCCCTGCCACACGTTGCTGTGGCCCAGTCTGATGATCTGGAAAATGAAGTAATGAGAAAGTGTTGGTTTCTAATATATGTAATTTCTTTATGCTTGTGGGTAAACAGTATTTGATTATGTTTTCTTGCCCTGGTGAAAGGAGTTGAACTGGATGGCCTAAGTATTTTCTATTGGTCCTAGGGGTTCTGTGTGGGAAGTTTGCCCCAATTCTATCGTTCGTGGGGTTCAGAATGCTCTTTGATTGTAGGTGAACTATAAATCCCAGTAACTACAACTCCCAAATGTCCAGGTCTATTTCCCCCAAACACCATCTGTGTTTACATTTGGGCATATAGAATATTCATGCCAAGTGTGGACCAGATCCATCATTGTTTGAGTCCACAGTGCTCTCTAGATGTAGATGTACTACAACTCCCAAACTCAAGGTCAATGCCCACCAAGCCCTTTTAGTGTTTTCTGGTGGTCACGTTTGGTTCAATTCCATCATTAGTGGAGCTCAGAATGCTCTTTGATTGTTGGTGAACTATAAATCCCAGCAACTACAACTCACAAATGACAAAATCAATTTTTTTTGAGCAATGGTCACTCCTTGGATTAGTAGGTGTCTTGTGGCCAAATTTGGCGGCAATTCATCCAGTGGTTTTTGAGTTATGTTAATCCCACAAACTAACATTACATTTTTATTTATATAGATTGAAATATTTATACCAGTTTCAAACAATTAGAAAAATTTTAGAAGTCTTAAATCTCTTATCCAAAAGACTGGCAACAGGAAGCACTTTGGATTTCAGATTGTCTCTGATTTTGGAATAGTAATAATAATAATATTTATTTATTTGATCAGTCATATGACCATTTCAAAATAAAACACGAGTAAAAAACAAGGCAACAAGGTGATAAGTCAGAATCTTATTTTCCTGGTTCTTCTTTCAGGAAATCTGCTCTTTTCTTAATAGCTTTCAGAATAAAAAGGCTTACTCTGATTATGTTGGATCTTTCCTGCCCTTGCAAAAGGGATGTCAGAATATCATTTCTGTTGGGGGACCTGTAGTTGGATAATATTGGATGTAAATATCTGTCTCGCAGTTTGCTGGACAGTCAGTTAAGAAATGTTCAATGTCTTCCACTGTTTGTTCTCCCCAGACGCAGAATCTCTCACTTCTTGGGATGTTACAGTAACGCCCGGTTTGCACCATAGTAGTATATGTACTTCTTAAGGGTAGAGGAAGTGGAATAGTTAGGTAGTGCTCTAAATGAATATTCCTTTTGTGGGAGGCTAAAAACCTTGTGGCTGAAGACCTACCTATGCTCTCTAGGTCCAGCTGTGCATAGACATCTTGAATGCTCTGCTTGAGCACTTGCCCTGCCCCCGGACCCAGAACACCCAGAAATTGCAAAGGCAGACCGAATCCAGCCAGCTCATTATTTAGAGCCGCCATCCACGATGACTTCTGGTCATGCTGGACTTGATCTTCTAGACATAGGCGAGGAAGTCTACTGGGATCCATAGAGTTTACTTTTGACCAGTAATTAAACTGTCTCATTAGAATTTGAGCTTTTACTGGGAGTATTCCTAGCTCAGCCCTTACTGCCGCCGTCAGTGTTGTTCTGGAAAGGCCCAGGAAGGTGCGAAGCTGCTTCAATCTTAGCTAGATTGATGTGCCCCCAAATTTGAGCCCCAAATATAAGTGCTGGCATTATTTTTGTTTTAAAGATTTCCAGGGCAGGTCTGATTGTGCCTGGGTATCTATGATGGTTCAGCTTATAAATGGAACCTGCTGCTTTTGTTGCTCTTTGTATGCTATGAGTAATGTGGTTAGCCCAAGCACCAGACGAAGAGAACATAATGCCTAGATATTTGTAGCAATTAATTTGTTCCAAATGTACGCCTTTCAGGGACCACGTGTACCGTTTCCTGTTTTTTCCAAAGACTATAATTTTGGATTTATCCTTGTTCATAGTGAGTGAATTTAGCTCACAGTACACATTGAATTTTGCCAGGGATCTTCTTAGTCCCACTGGAGATGTTGCCATAATCACCATGTCATCAGCATAAAGCAGGATGTTAATAGTTCTGGACAAAACTTTAGGACCATGTAGACTGTCAGAGGATAATGTATTTATGATGTCATTTATATAGAAGTTAAAGAGAAAAGGGGCTAAAATGCACCCTTGTCTCACCCCAGTTGATGTCTTGATTTCATTGCTCAGGGCTCCACTGGGTCCAAGTCTAACTTTCAATACGGTGTCAGAGTACAGCATAATGATTAAAGTAAGTAATCTTCTGTCAATGTTTGTGGCAGCCAGCTTTTCCCATAGTATGTTACGACAAATTGTGTCAAACGCTGAAGACAAGTCTATAAATGCTGAATACAGACACATCCCCCTTGAATTATACTTTTGAATTATGTGCTGCAGGACAAAGCAATTATCTATGGTTGAACGTCCCTGTCGGAAGCCTGATTGTTCTTCACAGAGAATATTGTTTTCATTGGACCATTGCTCAATTTTGATCAAAAGATATTTTGCGTAGATTTTTGCTGTGATATCAATCAGGCTTATAGGCCGATAGTTCTTTGGATTGGTTTTTTCTCCATTCTTATGAATAGGGACGATAATACTCATCTGCCAGCCTCTAGGTATGCTGCATGAATTGTTAATGTGGGAGAAGAGCCCTGCTAAAAGTTGGGCCCACCAATCACTGTTGTTCTTGAAAAGTTCAGCCGGCAAAAAATCCTCCCCTGGCGCTTTATTGTTTTGAAGTGCGTTGATAATAGATATTACTTCATGTGGCTTGACTTGTGTCCAGGCCGGGAGGGTGGCAGGATTGCAATAAGTTGTTACATGTTTTACATTGTTTGAATTGCCTGCCTTATTAAAGAGATCACCATAAAAGGTTTCCCAATGAGATGCAGGGATTGGAGAGTCTATTGAGAATCTGATTTGTCTCAATTTTGAAGAGACTAGTTGCCAGAAGACTGCTGAATTCTTCAAATGTAAGGCAGATTCCAGTTCACGCCAAATTTTTGTGTTGGGACTTCTTATGGGAAATCAGTTTTTTGTATGACCTTCTCAGGGTTAACATATTATTATGCAGCTCTTTATTAGGGTAACTGTACCGTGGGCCCTTGGTATTGCATAGGGTTTGATTATAGGACTCGTTATGGATAGCAAAAGCCATGGATGCTCAAGTCCCATTGAATACAATGATGTGATAATTCCCCTCCTGCGTGGGGAATTCAGGGCTATAAATCAGAAGCAGGAGCAGTCAGCGTTTGCTGGTAACAATGATGTTTTCATTCCAATTGAATTGTTTTGTGTCTGCTGCTAAGGATTTAGTGATCGTTGCCCGTTGTCTGATGGAAGACTGCTGTTTCTTTTGGGACTTTGTAAGAGGCTTTAATTTGTGTCTGCATTAAGACTTCCTTGCTTTCTTTTGCATTTTTCAACTGCATTTGCTTAGCCTTTGTGTTTGCTGAAGTAAAGCGTTTTTCTTTTACTTTCAACATTGCATTAAGGCAGTTCTTGAAGGGCAACTCAGGACAGGAAGAGATTGAACTGCTTCCTTGTGTCACAAAAATTAATGTGAAACATTTGCGCTGGGTTTTGTGCTTGTTTGCTAGGGTAGTTTGTAGATTTGAAACTCTGTAGGGATTTTGTCTGTGTCTACTTTGCTGTCACTGAGGGTGTGAAATTTAAATATTATGTGTGTTTTCTCTCCCAGGTAACTGATGGGGAGCCTGGAGGAGAGTCGCAGCTGATTCGTACCATCCCTCTTGAAAGCCCACATGGGAATTTATCACGCGAAGCCAGCAATGGTGGATTTGAGCCTAGAGAATTGGGAGCAGGTGCAGAAGCAGAACTGGGCAAAGTGATTGGCTCAGGTGAAGTTTCACAGAGTGATTCTGCTCCTGCAGTTGCCAAACTCCCAGAAAATTCAGGAGCCAAGCAGAATTCAGAACCTTCAGCGGAGAGTCAGGAAATAAGCAACGCTACTCCTGTAGAAGAGAAGAATGGGAGCCACCCGACCGGTGGAATTGGGTTGCTGCATCCTGCTGAAGAAGCCTGGCAAGAGGAAGATGGCCCCCCAAGGGGAGTAACGGTAGAGTCACAGGATCTCCCCATGGATGAAGAAGAGGGAGGTGAAGAGAGCATGGACTGGGAGTCCATTGATCTGGCTCTTTCAGATAGCAATGATGCAGATGAGGAATCCCGAAATGTGGATCTGGATCAAGAGGGTGATGAACTTCTTGAGGAAAATGGTGTGAAAGAAGAGGAAGAAACAGGCATTATGCATTGCATGGCGTCTCCTGCTGATAGTCTTTTCACTTCTGTAACATCATCAGTGCCTGAATTGTCCCAAGCCAGGCAGACAGAATTATTGACTGATCCTCAGACTGAAAAAGAACCCCAGGACTTGAAAGCAGGCAGTCAGGAGTTTGAAGATGAAAGGGGTTGTGCTAAAGACGACAATCTTGGGACCCCATCTCCAATTCAGGAAGTCACATCTGATGATACAATGGAGCAGGAGACTGTTGCCGTATCTGAAGATATCAAGTCCATCCTTTATGAGTTGATAGATACTGTGAGTGCCATGAATGTAGAGAGTGGAGAAACATGCCCTCAAGAGCCCTCAGGCTCAAACTGGATGAGTTCTGTAACTCTGGAGTGTGTGACTCCTCCTGACAGTGACGAAGAGAGCACTATAGCTGACCAGTTTGCCCATACTGACCAAAACTGGAAGATTACTGAAGGTGTAGAGCAACGTAGCACCTTGGCTCCCCAGGAGAGAGCTACTTCACAAGGGCAAGAACTGAACCATTCAGTATTGCATGGAAACATGAGGTGTGGCCAGATGTTTGAAAGAGAGACTCTTCCAGAGAGTGAGCCTGCTTCCCCTGCTCTTGGTGTCCTTCCAAGTTCTTCTGGCACAGATTGGTCAGTAACAAGGACTACAGGGCTATTATGCGAAACCCCAATGGTCAGAACATCCACACCGAAAGAGGATGTTCCATCTGTTTCCATGTTGTGCGAAAGTGAAGTAAGACAACTCAGCCATGAAGCATCCATGTCTGAAAAGGAAGACCAGTTCAGCAAGACAGGTGTAGAAATCATGCCATGTGTCCCAGCAGAACATCAGACTGAGTATTCATCAAAAGAAGGGGAGGGGGACACAAGAGGTGACCTAGCTGTTTCTGAAGATGTACAGCTTGAAGGTGCAAGACCAAGTTTGGAGGAGTCTGAACATTCTCTCCATGAAGTCAGAACAGAATATGTGGGAAGTCCAGAAGGTGTCCTGTTTGGTGAAAAGGCACAGTTGCCTTCCAGAGCTTCAGATATGAATAAGAGCGTGGAAGATGACTCTCTCACAATGGATGAGGACCAAGAAGACGTTGGCTCATACCACAGTAATAAGGCTGGTGGTTCTTGTTATACTAGATCCACCAGTGGACCAGAAATGGCGGTAGCTAGTAATGTTCTTGACTTGAGCCCCATCAGGACTCAGAGTGACAGGATGTACCAGAAAAACACAGAGAGGTCACCAGCTCTTGAGCCTGATGCTGTGGAACATGGCCGGCCTCATGCGCCCAAAAAAGCTGATAGGGCTCTCAGTACCAGCAATGAGTCAGTTCCCCCAAAGCAGTATGTGAACTTTTCAGTCACCAAGAAGCACAAAGAGAAAACAAGGTTTATTCACTCTTCCAAGAGGCGCGAAAGTTTCATGGGAGATCTGGGATTAATGAACTCCTTGAGTAGGACATGGAGAACATGGAGCGATCCCGTCCAAGACACTCTAGACATGGAATGTTTGCGTTTCCATGATAAGGTAAAGCAGATCCTTAGGAAACCTCAACCACCTACCTCCGCTGATAGCTTGTCGCCGCCAGTTGCAGCAGAATCATTGTTAAGAAAGGTACCTGGAACCCCTCCTTTGAACCCCCCTCCCAGAAGCAGAAGTCCCCTTCTGATCACTGTAGTGAACCCAAGCGTGGTATACGGTCCCCTATACTGGCTCCCGAGAAGAAGCCGACACAGAGACGCCTTTGAGCCCCCTCCCCGCACTTCCGCACACGATTCGCTTAGCAAAGCTGCTAGATTCAAAGGTCAACGCCAAGGGTCATGTTCTCCCTTTCACCTCAATAAACTGAACTACAGGAATAAGCTAAAAGATTCCCGAGGAGATATCTCGGTTATTATGGACGAGTTTGCAGAGTTCAGCCAGGTGATGACGCAAGACAGTAGGCCAACAAGTAGTAAAGGCCAAGAACCACAAACTACCTCAGAAGATGCTCCAGAGAAAAGAGGGACCTCATTGCCCCCACGGACAGTGTCCTACGAGCACCTCTTCGGCGAACTGTGCAACACACTGCATTTCAGACTCAAAAATGTTGCCCAAGAGGCGTGCAAAAAAACGTATGCGTTCTACCTGATGGAAACGGAGGACGGGCCTTTCTTTGGGAGAGTAAAGGTATGTGGTTTTTCTACAGGGTACGACTGAATTTCAATCCTTGCCTTGCCTAGTGCAGATGTAGCTCTAGTTCCCCACAAACTGTCATTTGGAAATCAGAAGGCAGCTTCTGAACTGGTTGCTAACTTTCTCATTCATGGAGTTACACCTTCCTCCTTTAATTAATTTAATTTATTTATTTACTGCATTTATATGCTGCTTTTCTCATCCCAAGGGGGACTTTAACTGTGTGTCAGTGTTAGGTGAGGAATGCAGTCAGGTCTCCACATTTTTGAGTTTATCTTTTGCAGATTTCATTATTCAGATTGGATTAATGTGGTCTCTGTAGGAATCACTAGGCGCTCTCGTTCTCAGTTATCTCAATGTTGGGATGACACGGCACGACTCTTGAAATACAGAAGTGACGACCAGAGTGCCACAAGCAGGGTTCCGTCCTGGGCCCGGTCCTGTTCAACATCTTTATTAATGACTTAGATGAAGGGTTAGAAGGCAGGATCATCAAGTTTGCAGACAGGACCAAATTGGGAGGGATAGCCAGTACTCCAGAGGACAGGAGCAGAATTGACAGATTAGAGAGATGGGCCAAAACTAACAAAATGAAGTTCAACAGTGACAAATGCAAGAGACTCCACTTAGGCAGAAAAAACGAAATGCAAAGATACAGAATGGGGGACAATGCCTGGCTCGAGAGCAGGATGTGTGAAAAAGATCTTGGAGTCCTCATGGACAACAAGTTAATGAGCCAACAATGTCATGTAGCGACAAAAAAAAAAAAAAAGCCAGTGGGATGTTGGCCTGCCTCAATAGGAGCATAGTGTCTAGAAATAGGGAAGTAATGCTCCCCATGCTCTATTCTGCCTTGGTTAGACCACACCTGGAATATTGTGTCGAATTCTGGGCACCACAATTGAAGAAAGATGTTGACAAGCTGGAATATGTCAAAAAGAGGGCGACTCAAATGATCAAGGGTCTGGAGAACAAGCCCTATGAGAAGCGGTTTCAGGAGTTGGGCATGTTTAGCCTGAAGAAGAGAAGGCTGAGAGGAGACATGATAGCCATGTATAAATACGTGAGAGGAAGTCATAGGGAGGAGGGAGCAAGCTTGTTTTCTGCTTCCCTGGAGACTAGGACGTGGAACAATGGCTTCAAACTACAAGAGAGGAGATTCCATCTGAACATGAGGAAGAACTTCCTGACTGTGAGAGCCGTTCAGCAGTGGAACTCTCTGCCCCGGAGTGTGGTGGAGGCTCCTTCTTTGGACGCTTTTAAACAGAGGCTGGATGGCCATCTGTCAGGGGTGATTTGAATGCAATATTCCTGCTTCTTGGCAGAATGGGGTTGGACTGGATGGCCCAGGAGATCTCTTCCAACTCTAGGATTCTAGGATTCTATGATTCTACATTGAGGGTTGTCTGCTTCATACAAGATTACAGGCATGGGGAAACTTTGACCCTCCTCCAGGTGTTTTAGACTTTAACTCTCACTAGGCTGTTAGGAATTTTGGGAGTTGAAGCCCAAAATACCTGAAGGAGGGCCAAAGTCTTCCTATGTCTGCTTTCAAGCAACAGAAAACAAGCTTGCTCCCTCCTCAATGGGACTTTCTTTCAAATATCCAAACATGGGTCTCATGTCCCCTTCTCGCAGCCTTCTTTTCTCCAGGCTAAACATCCCCATCAGCTGCTCCTCAGAAGAATGAATGGTTTCCAAACCTTTGACCATTTTGGTCGCCCTTCTCTAGACACGTTACACTTTGTTCCTGCCCTTATTGAACTGGACACAGGGCTATTCCAGGTGAGGTCTGCGCACGAGCAACACACTGTTTCTTCAGGGGAAGTGTAATGAATCCAGGGCAGGTGGTTTATTGAATGTACAGACCAAAGAACCACCAGTCTACAGAACCACCAGTCCACCAGTCTACAGAAGCTCTATCTTGCCAAGATTCAGCTTGCGTTTGTTGGTCCCCATCATGCCCATCACAGCATCTAGATACTGGCCAAACTCCAGCTGAGTCTGACAACTGGCAGAAAGAGATACTAAAGGTATCCAGCTACACAATTCTTAATGGCCTCACCCAGCACTTCCTACAAAGAGCATTGTGAATAAAACAGTGGAAGAGTTGCCATTTAAAGTGGCAAATCTTCCATTGGGGTCCTAACAGACTCGTACATTTGTGGGACACATTTTCCCTTTGAGATAATCATAGAAAATACTAATTAAAGACACAGGAAAAAAAGTCATAGAATCATAGAATCATAGTATCATAGAGTTGGAAGAGACCTCATGGGCCATCCAGTCCCCTCTGCCAAGAAGCAGGAAAATTGCATTCAAATCACCCCGACAGATGGCCATCCAGCCTCTGTTTAAAAGCTTCCAAAGAAGGAACCTCCACCACACTCGGGGCAGAGAGTTCCACTGCTGAACGGCTCTCACAGTCATGAAGTTCTTCCTCATGTTTAAATGGAATCTCCTTTCTTGTAGTTTGAAGCCATTGTTCCATTCGTCCTAGTCTCCAGGGACTTCAACTCCAACAATGCCTAACAGCCTTGGACCCTTTATTTTATTATTTTTATTTATTTACATCACTTATATCCCGCCCATATCAGCCCGCAGGCGACTCAGGGCGGTCTACATATCGGCACAATTCGATGCCATCAATACAATACAACAGCAAAACAATTAAGTGCATTTAGACAAAAAAGACAGTGCAATAACAATTTAAAAAGAGCTATATCCTCTCATTCCAATCCTCATCCGTTTCATCGTCTTGGCCGTTCCTGGGTCATTCTCCATCTCAAGCTTGACTATCTATTCCAGGGTTCCGAATGCTTGCTCAAAGAGCCAGGTTTTTACTTTCTTCCGAAAAGTCATATCTCCTCTCAGCCTTCTCTTCTTCAGGCTAAACATGCCCAGCTCCTTAAGCCGCTCCTCATAGGGCTTGTTCTTCAGACCCTTGATCATTTTAGTCGCCCTTCTCTGGACACTTTCCAGCTTGTCAATATCTCTCTTGAATTGTGGTGAGAATTATGGGAGGAGGAAGTAGGAACAATGATAACTGAAAAAGAATGGGAAGAGATATGGAAAGCAAGACACTTAAAAAACATGTCAATTAGAATAAAAGAAAATTATTATAAACTAATTTGGAAATGGTATTTAACACCGAGAATGTTAAACATTATAAATAAGAACAATAATGAAAAACGTTGGCGAGGATGCCAAAAAATTGGAACCTACATGCATATGTGGTGGGACTGCAAATATGTAAAAGATTTTTGGGAATTGGTTGTAACAGAAATAGAAAATGTTATGGATATAAAAATTAGGAGGAATACAGTAGAAATACTGGGATTGTGGCGCAGCTGGCTGAGTGTCAGTTGCATTAAGATCACTCTGACCAAAAGGTCATGAGTTCGAAGCCAGCCCGGGCTGGAGTGGGTGTCCAGCCATTGTGTAGCCTGTTGTCGACCTTTGCAACCCGAAAGACAGTTGCATCTGTCAAGTAGGAAAATTAGGTACCACCTATGTGGGAAGGCTAAGTTAACTAATTTACGAGGCCATAAAAAAAATCTCCAACAAAAGCATGCGGGGAATGAGGAAGTACTTTCTCAGTGTCGCAGATGGACAGTGAAGCAACAGCTCCCCTGGTGGCCAAAAAGTTAAATAGCCTCTGTGTATGTCTGTATACGTTTGTATGTCAAAAATTGGCATTGAATGTTTGCCATATATGTGTACACTGTAATCCGCCCTGAGTCCCCTGCGGGGTGAGAAGGGCGGAATATAAAAGCTGTAAATAAAATAATAAAATAAATAAATAAATAAATAGAAATATTACTTTTAATTAAAAAAGAGGATGGGAAAGACAAGAGGGGGAAAATTTAATAGACATGCTATTAACAGCAGCTAGACTATTAATTGCAAAATATTGGAAAGGAGCAATGAAAATTCAGATTAATGAATGGTATAAAGAAATCTGAAAAATGGCATTGAACGATAAGCTAACATCAAACTTAAAAGTAAAGAAAGGATTATGTTAAAAATGATTTTGAAAGTATCTAGAGAAAAATTCTAGAAAAATTATTGGTAAAAGAAGATGGGAATTTACCTCCAAATGAAGAATTGATTTTTAGGTGGGACTTCAGGAAAAGAGATGGTTCTGGAGAAAGGGAGCAAAAGGGTGAATGTAAATTAAAGAGAGGGAAATGTATAGTATATGTCTATATAACTGTATTTTCTTAAATAAAAAATTTGAAAAAGAGAGAGAGATAATCATAGAAAGAAAAAGAAATAATGAGACCTGGAAGTTGAGATTTGGAGCCTCATGGAAAAGTGTACAGCAGTAGTCCCGGTGCTCTGTGAGCAAAAGGATTGATAAAACATTGGAGTGAAATGGCTTCATGTAGTACCTCAAGGGCACTTAAATTCCGCTCTTTCCATCCTTCCTTCTCTGTGGATTTATCAAGAAAAGAATTCAGGCTTCCGTGATGGCTGACTGAAGTCTTTCAGCAAAGGAGCTGTAGGGCTGTATGATCCTCGGCCAAGCTGTGGGCTGTATATCTCCCCGGCCAAGCCGTAGAAGACAAAGCTTTCTACAGGAGCTCTTGTTATTATGTCCTGCATGGAAAGCTTCTCTGTGTGGACTGACCCCAAAAGGCTCCTATTCCCTCCAAAAACCCAAAAAGGGGCAGGACCAGCGAACCTAACTATAATTGACAGGTGGCTTGCCCTATGATTGCAGCCAAAAGAAGCCACCTATCTGCAGAGTCCCTGAAACTTTAGGACTACAACAAACATTCAATGCAAAGCAAACAAAATTGGAGCTCCTGGTACAGTTGTACCAGCACAGTTTCCCATTGATAAATTTCTGTCTTGTGAAGCTAAAAAGGTTGGTGTTGAAGAGAAATTCTGCTTCAGTGATGGATTCTTTTTAAAATTAAAATTAAAAACTTGCATTTCAGAATTTGCTGAAGAAAGGGGGCCATACAGAAATGGACCCTCTGCTTTTCTGTAAGGTGAACCACATGGAAACAGAGCGACTGATGGTCATCATTAGGAACGAGGACATCTTTCAACACATACATAAGGTATGTCGCAACACATCGTTCGTACAAGAGTACAGGCATGGATCAACTTCGGCCCTCCAGGTGTTTTGGACTTCAACTCCCACAATTTCTAACAGCTTATTGGCTATTAGGAATTGTGGGAGTTGAAGTCCAAGACATCTGGAGGGAGGGCCAAAGTTTTCTCATGCCTCGTACAAGAAGTAGCGCAGTGGTTCTCAACCGGTGGGTCCCCAGATGTTTTGGCCTTCAACTCCCAAAAATCCTAACAGCTGGTAAACTGGCTGGGATTTTTGGGAGTTGTAGGCCAAAACACCTTGGGACCCACAGGTTGAGAACCACTGAAGTAGCGCTAGATAGGTAAAGCGTGGGACACTATTGAGATCTGTTAATGACCGGTTTTGGGGTTTTGGGCAGATTCCTTGCTTGCTGAGGCTGAAGCGCTTTCCCAACGTGATGTTTGTGGGCATCGACAGGCCAGAGGACCTCCTGGACCAGACCTACCAGGAGCTCTTCCACAGCGGAGGCTTCGTGGTGTCTGACGACAAAGTGCTGGAGACCATGACCATCGGTGAGTGGAAGCCCAGGTGTAGTTGGTAGCTGGGAGGGCCTTCATACAGTTAAACCTTGTGTGCCAGCTGTGCCCATGCCTTGAAAAGCCCAATCTGGCCATGGAAGCACACACCTTAGTCACATCCAGACTAAACTGTAATGCCCTCTACGTGGGGCTGCCCCAGAAGAGCATCCAGAAACCAACTGGTACAAAATGTGAGTTACCGTATATTCCGGCATATAAGACGACCGGGCGTATAAGACGACCCCTAACTTTTCCAGTTAAAATATAGAGTTTGGGATATACTCGCCGTATAAGACCACCCCTCTTCCAATGCACACTAAATAAAAAAATTAAAAATCAGATTTGAATTCAATATGGTAATTTTAATTCAAATGCTTATGACATGCAGGTTCCTATGAGAGGGACATTGTACCTTACATTGGACATTATAGTTGCTCTTCCTCCCTTGAATTTCATTTACACTCTGGGTCCTTTACATCATGCTGGCAAGTATGAAAGCAGGCTTTAAATGGTTCAGATTACATTTATGTTGGCATAGAAGCTTGCATGCAAATAGAAGTCAGGCTTTGTATTATGAGTACTGAGGTGAAGGCAAAGCATTTGTAGAATTTTTATCTATAAGCAGTCTTTATAAATCAGGACCTCCTATCAGAAGAGAGGGGCAGATTGGACCCCAATCCTTCAGAAATGTAGCATTTGGCATGGAACATGTTTACTGGATCACATCTTGACATGTCTTCATCCTTAAATCACCGTGACAGCTTGAATTGTTTTAGAGTTTCTCAAGAACACAGCCAGGTGATGTTTAATTGTTAGAAGGGGAAAAGAGATCAGAAAAGAGGAAAGGGGACCCTGGGTCAATAAGAGCTTTCCAGTTTGACTTCTGTCAAAAATGAAATGCAAAGATACAGAATGGGGGATGCGTGGATCGAGAGCAGTACGTGTGAAAAAGGTCTTGGGTCCTTGTGGACAACAAGTTAAACATGAGCCAACGATGTGATGCAGCGGCAAAAAAAGCCAATGGGATTTTGGCCTGCATCAATAGGAGCAGGCCTCTTTTGCTGGTACAAAGAGGAGATGATTTCGTTTCATTTCTTCTCATGCATCCCAAAAAGAGTCTGTCAGAATGATGGATTCTTGAATACTGATTCTACTTGCATCTCTCAGTGTGCATCCGGGGAAGTCATGCTCCCCATGCTCTATTCTGCCTTGGTTAGACCAAACCTGGAATTACATTGTATCCAATTCTGGGCACCACAACTGAAGGGAAATGTTGACAAGCTGGAATGCGTCCAGAGAAAGAGGGTGACTAAGATGATCAAGGGTCTGGAGAACAAGCTCTATGAGGAGTGGCTTAAAGAGCAGGGCATGTTTAGCCTGAAGAAGAGAAGGCTGAGAGGAGACATGATAGCCATGTATAAATATGTGAGAGGAAGTCATAGGGAGGAGAGAGCAGATCAGGGGTTTGGAGAACAAGCCTTATGAGGAGCGGCTTAAAGAGCTGGGCATGTTTAGCCTGAAGAAGAGAAGGCTGAGAGGAGACATGATAGCCATGTATAAATATGTGAGAGGAAGTCACAGGGAGGAGGGAGCAAGCTTGTTTTCGGCTTCCCTGGAGACTAGGACACGAAACAATGGCTTCAGATTGCAAGAGAGAGAAGGCTGAGAGGAGACATGATGAGAGCCATGTATAAATATGTGAGAGGAGGTCATAGGGAGGAGAGAGCAGATCAAGGGTCTGGAGAACAAGCCCTATGAGGAGTGGCTTAAAGAGCTGTGTATGAAGAAAAGAAGGCTGAGAGGAGACATGATGAGAGCCATGTATAAATATGTGAGAGGAAGTCATAGGGAGGAGAGAGCAGATCAAGGGTCTGGAGAACAAGCCCTATGAGGAGCGGCTTAAAGAGCTGGGTATGTTTAGCCTGAAGAAGAGAAGGCTGAGAGGAGACATGATGAGAGCCATGTATAAATATGTGAGAGGAAGTCATAGGGAGGAGAGAGCAGATCAAGGGTCTGGAGAACAAGCCTTATGAGGAGTGGCTTAAAGAGCTGGGCATGTTTAGCCTGAAGAAGAGAAGGCTGAGAGGAGACATGATGAGAGCCATGTATAAATATGTGAGAGGAAGTCATAAGGAGGAGAGAGCAGATCAAGGGTCTGGAGAACAAGCCCTATGAGGAGTGGCTTAAAGAGCTGGGTATGTTTAGCCTGAAGAAGAGAAGGCTGAGAGGAGACATGATGAGAGCCATGTATAAATATGTGAGAGGAAGTCATAGGGAGGAGAGAGCAGATCAAGGGTCTGGAGAACAAGCCCTATGAGGAGTGGCTTAAAGAGCTGGGTATGTTTAGCCTGAAGAAGAGAAGGCTGAGAGGAGACATGATAGCCATGTATAAATATGTGAGAGGAAGGAGAATGATCAAGGGTCTGGAGAACAAACCCTATGAGGAGCGGCTTAAAGAGCTGGGCATGTTTAGTCTTCAGAAGAGAAAGCTGAGAGGAGACATGATGAAGGCTTGAGAAGCTGGAATGTGTCCAGAGGAGGGCAACTAAAATCAAGGTCTGGAGAACAAGCCCTATGAAGAGTGGCTTAAAGAGCTGGGCATGTTTAGCCTGAAGAAGAGAAGGCTGAGAGGAGACATGATAGCCATGTATAAATATGTGAGAGGAAGTCATAGGGAGGAGGGAGATCAAGGGTCTGGAGAACAAGTCCTATGAGGAGTGGCTTAAAGAGCTGGGCATGTTTAGCCTGAAGAAGAGAAGGCTGAGATGAGACATGATAATCATGTATAAATATGTGAGAGGAAGTCACAGGGAGGAGGGAGCAAGCTTGTTTTAAGCACTATGAGGAGCGGCTTAAAGAGCTGGGCATGTTTAGCCTGAAGAAGAGAAGGCTGAGAGGAGATATGATGAGGGCCATGTATAATAAATATGTGAGAGGAAGCCACAGGGAGGAGGGAGCAGATCAAGGGTCTGGAGAACAAGCCCTATGAGGAGCGGCTTAAGGAGCTGGGCATGTTTAGCCTAAAGAAGAGAAAGCTGAGAGGAGATATGATGAGGGCCATGTATACACATGTGAGAGGAAGCCACAGGGAGGAGGGAGCAGATCAAGGGTCTGGAGAACAAGCCCTATGAGGAGCGGCTTAAGGAGCTGGGCATGTTTAGCCTGAAGAAGAGAAGGCTGAGAGGAGACATGATGAGAGCCATGTATAATATATGAGAGGAACCACAGGGAGGAGGGAGAAGATCAAGGGTCTGGAGAACAAGCCCTATGAGGAGCGGCTTAAGGAGCTGGGCATGTTTAGTCTGAAGAAGAAAAGGCTGAGAGGAGATATGATAGCCATGTATAAATATGTGAGAGGAAGCCACAGAGAGGAGGAGGGAGCAAACCCTATGAGGAGTGGCTTAAAGAGCTGGGCATGTTTAGCCTGAAGAAGAGAAGGCTGAGAGGAGACATGATGAGGGCCATGTATAAATATGTGAGAGGAAGTCATAGGGAGGAGAGAGCAGATCAAGGGTCTGGAGGACAAGCCCTATGAGGAGTGGCTTAAAGAGCTGGGTATGTTTAGCCTGAAGAAGAGAAGGCTGAGAGGAGACATGATGAGAGCCATGTATAAATATGTGAGAGGAAGTCATAGGGAGAGATCAAGGGTCTGGAGAACAAGCCCTATGAGGAGTGGCTTAAAGAGCTGGGCATGTTTAGCCTGAAGAAGAGAAGGCTGAGAGGAGACATGATGAGAGCCATGTATAAATATTGAGAGGAAGTCATAGGGAGGAGAGGGCAGATCAAGGGTCTGGAGAACAAGCCCTATGAGGAGTGGCTTAAAGAGCTGGGCATGTTTAGCCTGAAGAAGGAAGGCTGAGAGGAAATATGATAGCCATATATAAATATGTGAGAGGAAGTCACAGGAGGAGGGTCTGGAGAATGATCAAGGGTCTGGAGAACAAGCCCTATGAGGAGTGGCTTAAAGAGCTGGGCATGTTTAGCCTGAAGAAGAGAAGGCTGAGAGGAGACATGATGAGAGCCATGTATAAATATGTGAGAGGAAGTCAAAGGGAGGAGATAGCAGATCAAGGGTTTGGAGAACAAGCCCTATGAGGAGCGGCTTAAAGAGCTGGGCATGTTTAGCCTGAAGAAGAGAAGGCTGAGAGGAGACATGATGAGAGCCATGTATAAATATTTGAGAGGAAGTCATAGAGAGGAGAGAGCAGATCAAGGGTTTGGAGAACAAGCCCTATGAGGAGTGGCTTAAAGAGCTGGGCATGTTTAGCCTGAAGAAGAGAAGGCTGAGAGGAGACATGATGAGAGCCATGTATAAATATTTGAGAGGAAGTCAAAGGGAGGAGAGGGCAGATCAAGGGTCTGGAGAACAAGCCCTATGAGGAGCGGCTTAAAGAGCTGGGAATGTTTAGCCTGAAGAAGAGAAGGCTGAGAGGAGATATGATAGCCATGTATAAATATATGAGAGGAAGCCACAGGGAGGAGAGAGCAAGCTTGTTTTCTGAGCCCTATGAGGATCGGCTTAAAGAACTGGGCATGTTTAGCCTGAAGAAGAGAAGGCTGAGAGGAGACATGATGAAAGCCATGTATAAATATGTGAGAGGAAGTTATAGGGAGAGAGCAGATCAAGGGTCTGGAGAACAAGCCCTATGAGGAGTGGCTTAAAGAGCTGGGTATGTTTAGCTGAAGAAGAGAAGGCTGAGAGGAGACATGATGAGAGCCATGTATAAATATGTGAGAGAAAGTAGGGGGACTAAAATGATCAAGGGTCTGGAGAACAAGCCCTATGGGGAGCGGCTTAAGGAGCTGGGCATGTTTAGCCTGAAGAAGAGAAGGCTGAGAGGGGATATGATAGCCATGTATAAATATGTGAGAGGAAGTCACAGGGAGGAGGAGATAGCAGATCAAGGGTTTGGAGAACAAGCCCTATGAGGAGTGGCTTAAAGAGCTGGGCATGTTTAGCCTGAAGAAGAGAAGGCTGAGAGGAGACATGATGAGAGCCATGTATAAATATTTGAGAGGAAGTCATAGAGAGGAGAGAGCAGATCAAGGGTTTGGAGAACAAGCCCTATGAGGAGTGGCTTAAAGAGCTGGGCATGTTTAGCCTGAAGAAGAGAAGGCTGAGAGGAGACATGATGAGAGCCATGTATAAATATGTGAGAGGAAGTCATAGGGAGGAGAGAGCAGATCAAGGGTCTGGAGACCAAGCCCTATGAGGTGGCTTAAAGAGCTAGCTATGTTTAGCCTGAAGAAGAGAAGGCTGAGAGGAGACATGATGAGAGCCATGTATAAATATGTGAGAGGAAGTCATAGGGAGGAGAGAGCAGATCAAGGGTCTGGAGAACAAGCCCTATGAGGAGTGGCTTAAAGAGCTGGGTATGTTTAGTCTGAAGAAGAGAAGGCTGAGAGGAGACATGATGAGAGCCATGTATAAATATGTGAGAGGAAGTCATAGGGAGGAGAGAGCAGATCAAGGGTCTGGAGAACAAGCCCTATGAGGAGTGGCTTAAAGAGCTGGGCATGTTTAGCCTGAAGAAGAGAAGGCTGAGAGGAGACATGATGAGAGCCATGTATAAATATTTGAGAGGAAGTCATAGAGAGGAGAGAGCAGATCAAGGGTTTGGAGAACAAGCCCTATGAGGAGTGGCTTAAAGAGCTGGGCATGTTTAGCCTGAAGAAGAGAAGGCTGAGAGGAGACATGATGAGAGCCATGTATAAATATTTGAGAGGAAGTCATAGGGAGGAGAGAGCAGATCAAGGGTTTGAGCCATGTATAAATATTTGAGAGGAAGTCATAGGGAGGAGAGGGCAGATCAAGGGTCTGGAGAACAAGCCCTATGAGGAGTGGCTTAAAGAGCTGGGCATGTTTAGCCTGAAGAAGAGAAGGCTGAGAGGAGACATGATGAGAGCCATGTATAAATATTTGAGAGGAAGTCATAGAGAGGAGAGAGCAGATCAAGGGTTTGGAGAACAAGCCCTATGAGGAGTGGCTTAAAGAGCTGGGCATGTTTAGCCTGAAGAAGAGAAGGCTGAGAGGAGACATGATGAGAGCCATGTATAAATATGTGAGAGGAAGTCATAGGGAGGAGAAGCAGATCAAGGGTGTGGAGAACAAGCCCTATGAGGAGTGGCTTAAGGAGCTGGGCATGTTTAGCATGTTTAGAAGAGAAGGCTGAGAGGAGACATGATAGCCATGTATAAATATGTGAGAGGAAGTCATAGGAGGAGGTAATCAAGGGTCTGGAACAAGCCCTATGAGGAGCAGCTTAAAGAGCTGGGCATGTTTAGCCTTCAGAAGTGAAGGCTGAGAGGAGACATGATAGCCATGTATAAATATGTGAGAAAGTCATAGGGAGGAGAGAGCAGATCAAGGGTCTGGAGAACAAGCCCTATGAGGAGTGGCTTAAAGAGCTGGGTATGTTTAGTCTGAAGAAGAGAAGGCTGAGAGGAGACATGATGAGAGCCATGTGTAAATATGTGAGAGGAAGTCACAGGGAGGAGAGAGCAGATCAAGGGTCTGGAGAACAAGCCCTATGAGGAGCGGCTTAAAGAGCTGGGCATGTTTAGCCTGAAGAAGAGAAGGCTGAGAGGAGACATGATGAGAGCAATGGATAAATATGTGAGAGGGAGGAGAGAGGAGATCAAGGGTCTGGAGAACAAGCCCTATGAGGAGTGGCTTAAAGAGCTGGGCATGTTTAGACTGCAGAAGAGAAGTCTTAGAGGAGACATGATGAGAGCCATGGATAAATATGTTAGGGGAATTCATAGGGAGGAGGGAGCAAGAGACGACCCCCAAGTTTTCAAAAGATTTTAAAGGTTTAAAAAGTCGTCTATTACCCCGGTTTTTACGGTATATGAATTGTACTGTTTTATTTGCTTGCTGTTTTGTTTTTACTGATGTGTTGTTGGGCTTGGCCTCATGTAAGCTGCCCCAAGTCCCCTTGGGGAGATGGTGGTGGGGTATAAATAAAGTGTTATTATTATATTATATTATATTATATTATATTATATTATATTATAAAAGTCAGCAGCTATACTGCTTATGGGATCAGGATACAGGGAAAGAACTAGTCCGCTCTTGAAGCAGGTACACTGTCTCCTAGCTTGTTTCCGGGCACAATTCAAGGTGCTGGTCCTTAGTCTATAAAGCTCTCAACTGTTCATGCCCAGCCTGCATCTCCTACCACTCCACACGAGTCCTGAGATCAACAGGAGAGTGTTTGGGGGAAATGAGAGAGGGGGGCCTTCTCAGTGGTGGCCCCACAACTCAAGCTCCCTTCCCATAGAGGTGCAGTCGTCCAACTTCCTTGCTAGCCTGTTGCTCTCAAGTTAAAACCTTTTTATGGAACCAGGCTTTTCCTGAAGATCAACAATAGGCATTAGCCAGATAGATAATGGGCCATTGTGTATTCTTGAAATGCTATTTCGGATCGGCAATATAGTAACACGGCCTAAAGGAAATGGAGTTTTTAGGACCCTAGAACAACTCTTTTAATGGACAGCCTTAATGGTCTGGGGGTCAGGGAATTTTTAAATAATACAATGTTTTAATTACTTAATTATTAAATTTGGCTTATGTGTATTTTCTGTTTCCTTTGTGTGTGTATTTTCTGTTTCCTTTGCTTATATGATGTTTTTGTTGTACTTTTATATTATGTAATTCTGTTGTTTTTAATCATTGTACCCCCTGGTGGCGCAGCGGGTTAAACTGCTGAACTTGCTGACCAAAAGGTTGGTGGTTTGAATGCGGGGAGTGGGGTGAGCTTCTGCTGTTAGACCCAGCTTCTGCCAACATAGTTAAAAAACGTGCAAATGTGATAAGATCAATAGGTACTGCTCTGGCAGGAAGGTATTGGCGCTCTATGCAGTCATACCAATGGCCACATGACCTTGGAGGTGTCTATGGACAACACCGGCTCTTTGGCTTAGAAATGGAGATGCGCACCAGAGTCCCAGAGTCGGACACGACTGGACTTAATGTCAAGGGGAAAACCTTTATCTTTACCTTAACAATTGTATGTCACTTCGAATCCTACCCAAGGGAGAAAAGAAACATATATATAAATAAATAAAAATATAATGATAAGAATGGATACGAAATTAAGGTACAGTTATCTCATTCACCCATTGATAAGTCAACCCATTGATTTGTTTTACTAACATTTCTAGATTTCTACCTGAGCAATTATTTGGGATACTTTCAGTCTTAACCAAGTAGGCCTGTCCTCATAGAGTGGCCTTCCTAGCTGAAAAGCAGCTTAGAGCTCGCAAACTTCACTGCCTTCACCTTTGTTTTGTGCTGCTGTTTCTCTCCCACAGGAGACCTGAAGGAGATGGTCAAAACCTTAGAGAAGCTGAATGGATACGGGAGGTGGAGGTGGCTCCTCCACTACAAAGAGATCAAGAAGCTCAGAGAGGATGCAAGGTGAGAAGGTCCTCCATTGTGCATGTAGCAGGGCTCAGGGTGCATTTCAGCAGGTGGTCTGTGGTTTGCTCTTCTCCGCACTCGCATGTCGAGGATTCCACTTTGTGGCCCCATTTCTGAAGGCTGGCTCTGCATCTCGTGGTGCCAGAGCGCAGTCCGTTCAGCGCCTTCCAAGTCGCTCAGTTTTCTGTGTGCCCAGGAGGGAATCTCTCATTTGGTATCAGCTATGGCTATGATGGGTGGGGAATTAAGAAAGAGGGAGTTGTATTGTCGAAGGCTTTCATGGCTGGAATCACTAGGTTCTTGTGGGTTTTTTCGGGCTATAGAGC